AAAGCAGAGTGATCATATTTTATAATTTTACAAACTTCTTTAATGTCTTGCTTAGCAGGAAACATAACTGGCTTCCCATATCTGCTCATGCATTTAAGTTGATAGAATAAGTTATCTGGTTGAATTATATGGAGAGAATCCGGCCTCACAGAGATATGTAGTCAGAAAAGGAAAGAGTATTATAGTAACCTTTTTGGATAATTGTGGATATTCACTTTTGACATAACGCCAAACTCAGCTGATACCTTTTAAAAGGTTGTCATGTGAAATCTGAAACTATCAATAAGTTTTTCATACTCAGTTACATTAAAATCTATTGGACTTTCCTGAACTTTGAATGACTCTTGTCCATGTGTGATTTTGTAACTTCAAGTATGATCATTTGAAAACATTGGTTCACTGAGTTTTGCAGATCTTCCTAATGTTGATGCATTTCATCTTACAATATTGAAAAAAAAATCACATTTAATATGACTTATCAGAAAAGTCTTTATGTATTGGGAAGCTATCAAACTCACTGTGACAGATACAAGTTTTCCAAAACTATATTTCTTACTTGAAAGCTTGAATTTTGTGATTGGTAACAAACAAAGACAGCTATTTTCCTTGAAATGAGAGGCTCACTGTATGTTAAAGAATATGTCTGCCCCATACTCAACTCTGAATAACCATATTTGTCTGTCAATCATTTTAAGTAAAAATGGTGTTTCGTTTTTAAAAACTCTAGTTCAGTTTACAGCTCAAAAATTGCGCAAGAAAACCATCATATGCTAATTTGCAGCAGGAGTGGTTTGTGTGTACTTCCCATTTCATCACATAAAATATTAAAAACATGTATTCAAGGGTCAAAATTTAATAAGAATAATAATTTTCACTGCTTGATCAAGAGAATTTTTAGTAAAATTGGCACTTTGTTTTCTTTACTGAGATTGCATAGTTACTATTACTTCTACTATTACTACTGGGTACAATTTGGGGTCACTGCCTTGATTCCTGCCACAGTGCCAGGGGTTTTAGCCACTATTGCTGTTGCACCATCAGTGCAAATGTCAATACAGTGAAGAAGATAAATACCATGTTAGTGTTACTAGGAAAATTATTTTGACCTTGTAGACCTCCTGAAAAGGTCTCAGGCAGGAATCCATGGATCACACTCCGATTCTCTGCTTTAGTTATTTTAATCTTTGCTGTAGGGTCATTTGGAATATTTTAACTAAAGCAAACATAAAATTAGACTCGTGTCAGCAATGATTCAGTCTTGCTTTTGGCTTTAACTTAATGTCACAGTCCATGCTGTGCCCGATATAACCTAACATGTCATTGTTCACCTCACAGTATCCGCAGGAAAAAAACAACGGGCCAAAGGTGCCTGTGGAATTGCGAGTGAACATCTGGCTGGGCTTAAGTGCTGTTGAGAAGAAGTTTAATAGTTTTGCAGAAGGAAATTTCACCGTCTTTGCTGAAATGGTACATTTAATGAGATTGCAATCTTTTCTTCTTTGGTGGGAGAAGGGATACTTTTACTTTGCACCCTTAGGGAAAACATGCACATACAGCCATCATTACCACCACCTGAAACCCCATCCAAGAGACCTTAACCTAAGGGCATAGGAGAAGATCCTCTTGAAGTTTTATTGTCAACATTGGAATGCACCAGGGTGATTAATGCCTTTGTGTGATAATTCCAAGAGGTGACCTCCACCCCAGTCTCACCAGCAATACTGAAAATGGGTGCCCTTCTAGTTTTCAAAGCTAGAATTCAATAATAGTCATACTGGTGCTTGATGGTGGGGTACTAAGTAGAATACACACGCACACATATGCACACACTCACATAGGCACACACACAAGCACACACACTCAGACACACACACTTACACATACACACACTCAGACACACATTCACACATACTTATGCACCAACCCAGGAAAGGGGATACTTAAGATATCCAGATCTTAATAAGCTTGCTTGAGGTGGAGGGTCTTTAAGCCCAGGGAGATCCATCCTACACTTAGGGGAAGTTTGCCCAAGGACAAAGAAAATGCTGCCTGAATACTTCAGAAACAAGAGATAATTTGTAAAAACCTTCACTGAGTTTAAAATCCACTTAGTTAATTGAAAGTGTCATTACAATTAAACTAATGAAAACAATTTTCACAAACTTTTATGGCTAACAGTAGAATTATTTTGATTTTTATACTGTTTTTAACTCAAAGTGCTTATTGATTTAAATTTACAAGATGTATTTGGTGGGTCTCTTCTGACAATTTTCAGATGAACTCCACTCTACAGATAGGCCTCTATGCTCAAAATCCGTGAGGAAAAACTATCTTCCCCCTAGCTAATCTATAAACCTGTTCCTGCTGCCCACTACTATACCTAACAACTGGTTCCTGACTGTGTTTCTGATCTGCTTGCTGGGCAAGAAACCCATGGCCATCTTTTATTTTTACTTTGTATTCATTCAACAGTGCCTGGCATGTAGTTGGTCCCTATAAATAGGTATTGAGTGAACAGATAAATGATGACAGAATTTATCTACCCAAGCATCCATCCATCCCTCCATCCATCCATCTGTCCATCCAAGCTTTTAGGGAGTGGTGTCTTTACACCAGGCACTGAGCCAGGTGCTGAAGATGATGAAGAAGCCAAGCCTTGTCCTCAAGGATCTCAAAATCTCCTGCAATGATTGTAAAACTGGATTTCTTGTTAAACGTGCAGACACCCAGAGCCACCCTGGGGATTCTGACTCTGTAGCTTGGGTTAGGTTAGGGATTAGCACCAGAGGTAAATGTGGAGCATCAGTGGACCACTTTAAGAAACAATGGAAAGCGTGGGAGACACACACAAACAAATCCTTACAGCTCAGGCTTGGAGGTGCTAATGGAGATAAACAGAGGGTGTGCTAGAGGTCACTGGGGAGGCCCTGAGTGGAGGATGTTGATGTCCAGCCATCTGGGTGGTGTGGGGTGAGGACACCAGGGGGTACATAAGGGGAGGCTTGTTTCTGCCTTCCTGCAGGATTTCTTGGCATTCACCTGCCCTCCAGCTCTGTGGCTGCGGCCAAGCCCGGAGAAGCTAACTCTGATCAATGACCTACCAGCCCAGGGTTCCCTTCTGCTCTTTCCCATTTCCAGATCCTTCCCTGCATGGAGTGGAGCTCAAGCTTCAACTCATGTAGAGAGATGGCCCGCCCATTTCAGTTGTATTGTGTGACTTGCCCCTGAATACCAGAAGGGGCACGTTAATAACAATAATGGGAATTTTACTGGTTCTTGCCTTCGTGTGCTAATACCAGAATTTAGTTCTCTGCAAAATTTCCTCCCGTAATTTCTGGGGGTCTGTGAGGTGCTTGCTCAGGAATCCTTTTTTCTTACTGTCCTGCCTCACCACTGCTGGCTACAGGCCACCGCCCTCAAAGCCACTGGAGGCTCCACCTCCACTGCTGCTGCCTTTTTGTCCACACAAGGTCCTTGCCTAGATTTTACTAGCGCCATGCTGGTTTCCAAGCAGAAGCAGCAGGAATGTTTTGCTCCTCCATTCTGTGTCCTTGTCACATGTCCCCAAGGCTCACTGTCCCTTGTGATAACAGCCCCTTTAGCTTCTGTCTGAAGCTCATCTTCCCTGCAGCCTCAGAGCCAGCATCTGAGGGAAGCACTATGGCGTCCTCTTGATCCCAGTTTCCTCATCAGGCCCCTTCTCGAATCTCCTTCCTCGTCTTTCAGCCAAAAACTTTGCTATGGCTCGTGCACATCATCTTCTCAGTGGGGTCATCAGTAGAAAAACGGAAATTTCAGTTTGAGCCCAAACATCCACACGCACCACACAGGCAAACCTGAACCCTTTCTATGGTTGAGAGAGTGAAGAGCAGACCATGGTACATTAATAAATTCTAACTTGGAAAGGAATGCCCTGGAAACCAGAGTCTGCCACTGTTCCTAAACCTGCTTCCCAGAAAGGTCTTGGTCTACCTGCCATGCTTGGGAGGGGATTAAGGCTCATAACTTTTAGGTCCAATAAGGGGCTAATGGACCTTCATGTTTCAGATGAGTTTTTTTTTTTGAGACAGAGTCTCACTGTGTTGCCCGAGCTAGAGTGCCATGGCGTCATCCTAGCTCACAGCAACCTCAAACTCCTGGGCTCAAGCGATCCTCCTGCCTCAGCCTCCTGAGTAGCTGGGACTACAGACATGCGCCACTATGCCCGGCTAATTTTTTCTATATATTTTTAGCTGTCCAATTAATTTCTTTTCTATTTTTGGTAGAGACGGGGTCTCGCTCTTGCTCAGGCTGGTCTCAAACTCCTGAGCTCAAACAATCCACCCGCCTCGGCCTCCCAGAGAGCTAGGATTACAGGCGTGAGCCACCGCGCCCGGCCTCAGATGAGTTTTTTGTAGGCTACCTGGGAAGTATACCATCAATTATATATTGTTTCAGTGGGTAAACGTGCCCCAAGTTTTAAGCAGTAGACTTACAAATAAACTTTATAAATCTACACACTCATAAGTTGAGGACTTTTATAAGTATTTAAACAATAAGATTCAAAGAACTATTTTGAACCATTCAGAATAATAACAGAAACAGCTGGCATGGTATATCACTGTTTACAAAGCACTTTCATAATCATTTGCATGTTTGAACTACAGAACAACACTATAAGAGAGGTAGTGTTATCCCCAGTTTTCAGACAAGAACACCAAGCCTTAGAAAGATGAATGATTTATTTAAAGTTGCCAAATCAGTAACAGCCCAAGTTAGGTCTACACCTTCTGAGCATAAAGCTTTTTTGCTTTCTGTGGTTGTCTAGGCTAAGTCCTAGATGAACTTGAACATTTATCGGCTGGCTTTATTTCTTGCTCTCTGATGATATTTCTCCAATTTCATTTCTTTTTTTATTAGTATGAAAATCAAGCTCTCATGTTTGGAAAATGGGGCACCTCCGGATTAGTGGGACGTCATAAATTTTCTGATGTGACGGGAAAAATAAAGCTCAAGAGGGAATTCTTTTTGCCTCCAAAAGGCTGGGAATGGGAAGGAGATTGGATAGTGGATCCTCAAAGAAGGTAAGTGTTCCATTTTCTGAGAAAAAAAAAGGATACCATGAAGACTTTCCCTAGAAATTACTAGATGGATTGTTTCCGTCATCGTTCTTGATAATATTTATGTAACTTAAGGAGTAAGTCTACGGAAATTTATAGACAGTTGAAAGCTGTCATCAGTGTCCCATGGGCACTGGCATCATCTTATTTAATCTTGACTACAGCCCTACAAGAGAGGTAGTGGCGCACATTGTGACGGGTCTGAGATTGTATCCTACTTGAAACTAACAAGGTCTCCTGCCACAGTTTCATGGATGCCAGCAGGAGACACTTGACTTCTGGGTCAGATAAGAAGGACTTTATTGCCCACAGCAATAGCAATACCAGAGTATCAACATTTTCTCTAGTTCTCCATGCCCCAGTTCCCACAGGATGACATGTAGACGGCCAGATGACACTTAAACATGCAGTGGATTGAGTTACAAGAGAGGAACCCTGAGCTGAGGGAACCCAAGTGTTTTATAATGGGCGGTAAGCAGGCTGGCCTTTTGCTCTGGAGTGAGACCATCTCTGTCTTCCAAAACTGTTCCGCATGTAAATGTTCTTGAAAAGATAGTCCATAACATAGGCAGTCAGTGCCTCAGCTGGCAAGATGTGCAGAAATGCAAGAGACTCACAGAGAATTATCTCCCAACAAGAAGTAGCAGCATCTCCACTGTGCAAACAAGGAAGCTGAGACCTAGAGAGATTAAGTAACTTGTCCAAAGGCACACAGCCTGTAAGCAGTAAAGCTGGGGTAGAGTCCAAGTCTACTCAGGGCACCCAAACCAGCATTCAACTATTATACTGAAATGCCTGCAAGAAGCACTAGAAGGTACACTTAAATGGGTGAATTGCATGGCAAACGAATTATATCTCAGAAGCAGTTATTAAAAAGAAAGAAAAACTAAACAGTAGAGGGGGAAAGCGTGCATCTCCTACAGTCTAGGGCACACTGAAGCCTGGTTTCTAGATGTTGCCAACAGCGTTAGAGCTAGCACTCCCTCTTCTTGCTGCCTCATGACAGCACACTTAAGTTTGGGGAAAACAAGCTTGTGACATGGGATCTTAAGGCCTCCAACCAGAGTTTGGTCTCTCTGTCCTTTGTTTCCTATACTCACAAAGGCATCAAGGGTTGGGGGGTGGGGGAGTGAGACGCAGGCCTGTGACGGTCCAATGCTTGCACATGATTGCTCTCAACTCAGGATGGCTTGCTTTGAATGGGCTTGGGGGAGATGGGTGAGGAGAAGAAAAACGAGATTTGCATTGGACAGAGGGAAGGAAGGTTAGTGAGGCCAGGGGAAGAGCAGGGGGAATCATGATGGAAAAAGCAGAAGGCTGAGCATGTCCGGGCTGGATGGGATGCTGGAGGCAGCAGCCAGGGCTCTTCTTCTCCTTTTCTGGGGCCCAGAGAAGTGATGGACAGACCTGAGTTAGACAAATGGTTGGGACTCTTTGTTGTTTGATTCCCTTACAGTGCTTGATTCTAGGGGAGGGGATGGCAGGGAAAGATGCAGAGACAGTAAAGGAAAAAGAACCCTCATTTGAGTGGGTGCTTGGCAGGAGACTTGAGTCTGTGCTTTCCTCTCTGAGCTGTCAAAATAGTTCCAAATCCGAGAGGAAAATTGTCATGGCAGAGAGTTAGTATGGATTTCTCAAGTGCCCAAATGGAGTGTGGAGTCTTAAATGACCTGGTTTGACTGTCTGTCTAAGAACTACCCAGAAAATGTGAACTCCTCCCTTCGGTCTGCGTTACGTAGATCCAGCAAGCCTTGAGTAAACGTTTCCACACTTGTCTTCACGAGACTGTCTCCACTCCATTTTCAAAAACAGGGGCCATGCGGGGGACAACTCCCTGTTCTTTTGAACTGTAAGCCAAGTCGAGAGAAAGCTGAACAGCCCTGAACTGAAACAGAAACACGGTCCCTAGAAGAAGCTGCCCACAACACTGTTTTCCCAGTCCCCACCCTAATTACCAAGAAGGAGCAACCTTGCTAATTCGAGGAGTTCTCTGTAATTTAGGTCGCATGGTTCCAGCAGGCCCTTTCTTCAAAGGAATGTCAAAAGCAATTAGTACAAAGAGGAGTTTGGAGTGGAGTACCAAGAGGGATAGGGTGAGGAGGGAGCTGGTACCACTCCCAGGGCGCGGATGCTGCCTGGCCATTGGCAGTAACTGGGGCTGCCGGGGGCTGTTTCTGCAGCTTGCTGACTGAGGCGGATGCAGGTCACACGGAGTTCACTGATGAAGTCTATCAGAATGAGAGTCGCTACCCCGGGGGCGAGTGGAAGCCAGCAGAGGACACCTACACAGATGCGGTGAGCAGCCTGCTCAGAATAGAAACCCTCCCACGCAATCACCTCTGAATCATGATCTGCTGGGAACCCACAGCCACCAGGCCGGGCTTCACCCTCTCTCTGCTCCATCTTATGTTCTGAACAGTCTTCCACTCATAACTTAAGCCACACAAATACCACGACAGTTACTTTCTTTCTTTTTTTTTTTTTTTGAGACAGAATCTCACTCTGTTGCCCAGGCTGGAGTGCCATGGCATCAGCCTAGCTCACAGAAACCTCAAACTCCTGGGCTCAAGAGATCCTCCTGCCTCAGCCTCCCAGGTAGCTGGGACTACAGGCACACGCCACCATACCCAGCTATTTTTTTCTATGTATTTTTAGTTGTCCAGTTCATTTCTTTGTATTTTTAGTAGAGATGGGGTCTCACTCTTGCTCCGGCTGGTCTTGAACTCCTGAGCGCAAACAATCCTCCCTCCTCGGCCTCCTGCAATGCTAGGATTACAGGCATGAGCCACCACGCCCAGCCAACAGTTACTTTCTATGGAATAGAAATTGAGCTCATTTCACCAGATGTCGGTACATGGTAAAGTCTGGGTCATGTGAATTTTTTAGGGTAAATATTTATTTATAATTTAACTAGTTTTAAAAATCTTAACAAATGAAATGTTTCTGTCTTTTAAAAATGCAAACAGCGTTAAAGGAAATGAAAAGTAATTCTTCCCTCTGATCTGTATTCTACTACCCAAAGATAGCCATTGATAATAGGTATATAACTTCTTTTTTCCCTGCCTAAATAGAATTGTGTTGTACATAGAGTTCTACAGCTTGTGTTTTTCACATAATAATATATCTTAGACATCCTTTGATATCAATGCATATAGATCTATGAGCTTTTAAAAAAAAATGTCTGGAGCCAGCCGCTGTGGCTCACACCTATAATCCCAGCAGTTTGGGAGGCTGAGGCTGGAAGATTGCTTGGGGCCAGGAGTTTGAGATCAGCCTAGGCAACACAGTGAGACCCTGTCCCTACAAAAAATTTAAAAATTGGCCAGGCATGGTGGTGCACTCCTGTAGTCCTAGCTACTCGGGAGGCTGAAACAGGAGAATTGCTTGAACCCAGGAATTTGAAGTTACAGTGAGCTAAGATCAGACCACTGCACTCCAGTGTGGGCAACAGAGTGAGACCTTGTCTCTAAAAAAAAAACCCTGGAGAACTGGAGAATGTTTTATTATATGCACCTAATTTACTTATTTAATTAAGTCCCTCCTCACGGACATTTAGGTGCTTTATTTCCTTGTCTTTGATTTTTATAAACAATGCAACAGTAAACATCCTTATATATACATTTTTATTTGCTTATAAAAGTTTATCTGTAAGAAAGATCCTTGGATTTGCTTGTTTGAGGTTTAAATATATATAAAATTTTGATAAATACTGCCAATTTGCTTTTCAAAGAGGTTTTATAAACTTGTATTTCTAGCAACAGTGTAAGAGAAGGCTGTTTGCCTAAACGCTCACCATCCCACTATATCATCTTTGCCAATACATGAGCAAGTGGTATCCTGTCGTTATTTCGATTTTCACTCTCTTAATTTAAAGTGAAGCTGAGTGTTTTTCCACATGTTTATGGGCTACCTTTAGTTCTTTTACTTATGAACTTTCTTTTCACAACTGTCTATCAGTTTTATGCAAACTTAAGTCCAATATTTCACATAATCTTTGCTCAATCTTGTGTGACTAACATCATGAGCATCGAGTAGCATTTCCTTGTACTTGAAAACACATCTTTAATGTTTTATCCATTCTCTGATGGGTTCTTTTCTCAACAACCCCTCATAAAGATCGTTGCAGTGTTCTACAATATTGAGTTGAACCACATGAAACTGCTGAGATTCCACCACTTTGACCTACAAAGACAGCAATTTTACGTGGTGCAACTTAACGCTATTCCCTAATAGAAAAACAGAAGGGAGTTTAAACAATTTTTATGCAGCAATTATGCGTAGATAAAGGTTAGAGGTTTTTCTTGAGTGAAATGGATCTCTAGGGTGGTAGCTAAGTAAACATGTGGATACTGTAGTTAAGCATGAGATACCATATCTCACCCTTTTCATCTTGCTGACACTATGGCTTACCTGTCTTCTTTGTTTTTGTTCTTTTGGTTTTTGTTTTTAAAGAACGGTGATAAAGCAGCGTCACCCAGCGAGCTGACTTGTCCTCCGGGTTGGGAATGGGAAGATGACGCGTGGGCGTATGACATCAATCGAGCAGTGGATGAGAAAGGTGACATTTCGCATCTGTTACCTGACCAGGGGATGTGCAGCAGGGCCTTGTCAACCAGAGTAAAGGTTCTTTGGCAGGGAGGGTGGGGTTTTACCTCTGCTAGTCTATGGTGCCTAGGTCATGGGGTGCTATCTGTGACTATTCAAATGTAGAATCTGACGGACAAGCAAATGCTTGGACAGGTGCTGGGTTGGGGGGATGTTGAGAGTAAAAAATATGCTTGTCTGATTGGTCTTGTTGATTTAAAAAAATGAAAAATATCCAGTGATGGGGGCCAACTGGTTGGGCTTTGAGGTACTTGGGGATCCAGGATGGGTATTCAGGAGGGAGCTGGAATGTGGGTTTTCTCTATTCTAAGCATACCCCATAATCTCCCTGGGAACATCCCACTCAGGGGCCCCCAAGCTCAGAAAGGAGAACTGTAAAATACCTTAAAAGTTCCCTATGCAGATTATTGACATAACTTCTGGTAGTGGTGTAGATCTTTTCCATGAATAGTAATCCGAAGTCAAGATTTGAATCAAAGAAAATTTGATTTTTTTTCTTTATAAGAGGGAATAGTGCATAGAAAGAACTAATATTGATATCGAAGATTTCAAATCAAGTTCCTTGCTGATCTTGATGCACACAGCAGGTCTTAGAATAATCGTTAGCATTGGTTGAGCATTAACTATGTGCTAAGTATGGCCCTCATGCTTTGCATACATTATTTTGATTGTGTTAAGATACTGTAACCCTATAAAAAGATTTATTTTGCCTTTATCACGGGGAAGTTAGGCCTTAGGTAGGTTACCAACTTGCAGGAAACTTATTTCATAAACAGCCAGCACCTGGTAGTGTTGGGATTTGAACCCAGATTGTGTGACTACATGACCCACACTCTTCCCACTGTCTCCTTCTACCTCTTGAACTGGGTTTTATGCTTAGATATGCCGAATTACCGTGAATGACTAGAGGCATAAAAAATGAAGGAGAACTCCACAGCACAAAGGGAGTTATTTGAGGAGGGAGCCGGGGAATGAGGCTGTATTTGGTTTGGCTGAATCCCAGCAAAGTGAGAGGAGCCGTGCATGCAGTCATGGCACCAGAGAATGTCTGGGGGCAGAGACGGTGACTATTTCCTGGAGGTTTATTTGGTGATCTGACAAATGCATCTTTTGGGTAACCATTCACACACTCTGTTCCAGGCTGGGAATATGGAATTACCATTCCTCCTGATAATAAGCCCAAATCCTGGGTTGCAGCAGAGAAAATGTATCACACTCATAGGCGGCGAAGGCTGGTCCGGAAACGCAAGAAAGATTTAACACAGACGGCTTCAAGTACTGCAAAGGTAAGAGAAGAGGGGAAGGGAGCTGGACTGGGGAGCTCTGCCTTCCAGACCACACAGAGCTCCAGTTAACTAGAAATTTCTGCTGAAGCCATTTGCAAATCCAGGGCTTAATGCTGCACTCAAGGGTTCTTAAATTGTGCCCACCCTTACAGCAATGCCCCAACTGGGAATTTGTTAGAAATGTCTCACCCCAAACCTACTGATTTAAAAACTCTGGGGATAGACCCAGCAATCTGTAGTTCAACAACCCTTCCGGGTGATCCAGAGGCAAAATGTTTAGAACTGCTCTAGAGCTGTTAAAAGAAACTGAAATTATTTTAGCAGCATAATATAGCAGTGTAATAGCTCAGGACTTGGAACAAGATATCTAAGGATTCAAATCCTAACTTCACTTTCTTTCTCATCTGCAAAATGGGAATAATATCTATACCTATCTAATTAGGGTATTGTGAGCTTTAAAGGGAATAATAATAAATTAAATAGAATAACAGTAAGTGGCATGTGCAGAAGTGTCCTTCTATAATGCCAGGTACTGAATATGCATCATCTACAATCTATAAGGTCTGGATTTTATGTATATTTTACAGATAACGCAGAGCTTAAACAAACTTGCTCTAGGCCCATGTCTAGTGAGTGACAGAGTTGGTGTTTGAACCCAGGCTAGGCTAATTCCAAACAGGAACTCTTTCTTTCTATTCCACAAAATATCTAATGCTAGTAGGTGCTACGAAGTTATTTTTATTGGATAGTGAGCTTTTGGGAGCAAAAATGGAGCCATAGTCATCTTTGTATCTTCCTTGCTAAATCAGGAATGTGCTACTAATAGATAATATATTTAATAGTAGCATGAATGAGCTGATGATTGAATGAGTCTTTATTATTGAATTAGCCCATCATGATGGGGTGAGAAGTTTCTAGAGGTGCTTGACCCTCTCCTTCCACACGAGAGCACCAAGTGAAGTGGGAAGAACACTGAGCCATCGGTCAGAAGGCTTGGGACATGGCCCAGCTCTACCAATGAGTGTTTCTGAGACTTTGATCATGTCCCTAACCTGCCTTACTCTTGGCTACGCCAAACAGTTTGTTGCCACTATCAACATTACTAGAGGTTCGGTTCCAAGATTGAGGTTAACCTGTATTTTACATTTATTCAAAGTGAAAAAAATAGACCCAACAATAATAATTATCCACATGGAGCTCTTATTTCTAAGATCCTAAATATTATTCAGTATTATTTTACACTTATTAAATCCAGTTATACTTTTAAGACATTTAAATAAAATTTCTGCCACTAAAATGTCAGCTACATGATGGCAAAGACTTTGTCTGCCTTTTTCTTCACTGCGTCCTCAGCCCTTAATGCAATCCCAGTCCCGTAGCTGGGCACTCATATTTGTTGACTGAACAGAATAAAACATTGAAAACTGAGATCATTTGTATTATGTATCAATATTCTTTAAGCTGAAAAGCGCCATAGTCATTAGTTATTACAGAAGTAATATGCCCTGATCTATTCTTTTAATTATTAGTTATGGCAGGCTATTAGCTTAGCAAGGCATTTAACCAGGGGCAGGGGAGGGCTGTCATTTTTTCCTCCATATATAAAATGGAGATAATAATGTTTTCCAAGCTATATCGCAATAGCAATGTTCTTATGAACTAAGAAAGTGAGAAAACAGAAAACAATTTGAGAAAGAATCCACCTATTCATCTCACCCCTAAGCGTGAATGAGGTGCCTTGCTGAGGGTATGTCCACCACATGTCAACATCCGTTCTACTGTGCCTACCTGGCTCTCTCCCTGTATCCCACAGTCTGTCGGCTCTGCAAGGGCAGAGATCCTGTCTGCTTTTTTCTTTCTTTTTTTTTAATTTCAAAATATTAAGGGGGCCTATCTGGTTTATTTTTTCTTTGCTGTGTCCCTGGCTCTAGCACAGTGCGGAGTAGATTTTAATACTACATATTTGGCGGTTGACCAAATGACCTGTTTTGATCAATATAAGGACTATTATTATTATCATCAAAATTTTTACTTCTGTTTTAGGCCATGGAAGAATTTGAAGACCGGGAAGGCTGGGAATATGCATCTTTAATTGGCTGGAAATTTCACTGGAAACAGCGTAGTTCAGATACCTTTCGCCGCAGACGCTGGAGGAGAAAAATGGCTCCTTCAGAAACACATGGCGCAGCTGCCATCTTTAAACTTGAAGGTGCCCTTGTAAGTAATAAGTAGCCAAAGTGCACATGATATTGGTATAGAGGAAATATGTGAGTGTTGATACAGCACTGCTGACTCCGTAGAGGTCCCTGTAACCCCAGTACTATAATACTGCAAATAGGTTAAGGGAAAGTTACACATCCTAGGTGCTCAACAATCCTTGTGGAATAAATACACCATCAACACAAGAAAAGTTCTAAGAAATACCACTGCAGACACACCTGTTTTACCCAACATTTTCCAAATATATCTGTTCCAGGACCCCGTTTCAGGTAACATCAATTAACATCCCAGGCACAGGCTCCTTGGATCATGCTTTGGAAACTGCAACTGTTCAACAAACCAAAAAAGTTAAATATACAAATGTGAGGGGGAGGAAATTAGAGAACAATTCATATGGAGGCACAATAAAGAAGACAGGGAGAGAAAAGGCAGGCAGGTGGAAGGAAGGAAAATGGCAGTGGGTGGTGGTCTAAACCAATATGGTGGTCAGGAGCCATTTCCAAACACAGCCTATTTTTGTATTTCTGCACTCTGACCTCACTGTGTTCCTCGGCTGCTGCTCTTTCTCTTCCTCCTCCCATCCTTCTAACCCACTTATTTATGCTCTGTTTTTTCTTTTCTCCCCTTTATTTCGGCAGCAGAGTTTGGCAAACCTGGGCTCGAGGTAAGAGGGCTGGCTCTCTGCTGCTGTCCAGCTAAGTGACTTTGGGGAAGTCACTGGGCCTTATTCATCTTTAAAAATGGTGTGATTGGACACTTACATCTTGTAAAATCCACCATTCCATTTGTTTGTGATCCTTGCCTCTTGGTTTGAGTGTTTGTTTTTAGGCAGTGTTCGTTGACTTTTCTGTCTGTTACTTTAGGGGGCAGACACTACAGAGGACGGAGACGACAGGAGTGGGGAGAAGCAGAAGCACAGCGCCACCACCGTGTTTGGAGCAAACACTCCCATTGTTTCTTGTGATTTCGACAGTGAGTTTTAAACTTTGTGAATTCCGCTTCTATAATTTATTTTAAGAAAATTCTTTGAATCTCTTCATGCAAACATGAATTTCATTTTCATCACTTGAAGAAGAGGATTTTTTAAAATACAGTTTTAAAAACTGTATCATATATGTGGTGAAGGGTGGTCAAATCACTGATTTTAACATAATCTGTTTAATAAGTACTCATTCTGTCTAGTAAGCTCCCCAAATTATTATCTTAATTAGGAAAAAAAAGGCTCAAATATAAATCAAGCTTGGTTTCAATGATAACCTTCTGGGATTTTGGAATGAGGCAGACCTTCTCTGTAATAATAGCAAATACTTATGTAGGTCTTAGCACGTACCAGAAACTGTACATATAGTAGCTTGTTCGATCCTCAAAACAACCCTATAAGGTAGATAATATTATTGTGTTTTATAGATGAGGGAACCAAGGTACAGGAAGATGAAATAATTTGCCCATGGTCTTATAGCTTGTAAGCTCTAGAGACAAGATTTGAACTCAAGTAGTCAAGCTCCCAGAATCTATGCACCGAATCACAATGCTCTGCTATCTCTCAAACTGTGTGTGTGTGTGTTAATATAATGACAAAGAGAAGGAGTATGAAGAATTTGAAACATCAAAGAAACTTTTAGCAAATAACTTTCCCAAATCTGGTGTTGAAGGAGTATAGAAAGCCAGTTTCTCTAACTGTTGGAGACCTAGTTGCATTTCAAACATCTGTAATGACAAGCAGTACCCTAAATCCAGGTAGTTTACAACAGGAGTAATGCTCTCCTGATTGACACAGTGGCATGGAGTTTACCATGGTATTTTTTAAAAATAGTTTTTATTTTACAGGAAACAGAACTGCTTTGGTAGGACACATTGTCATTATTATATGTGCTCTTTACTGTGCAGAACTAGATTGGGGTGACCCATTTATCTGAAACATGTATTATCTCCAAATATTACAGAAAAATAGCAGTTTGTAGTGTTATATTTCTTGTAAGTAATCTTCATCCTGGTGGTTTTTTATTTTTAGGAGTCTACATCTACCATCTGCGCTGCTATATCTATCAAGCCAGAAACCTCATGGCTTTAGACAAGGATAGCTTTTCAGGTAAAGGAAAAAATATGCTACACATTACTACATAGTGGGCCGTCTTGATTCTACTTCTCATCAAGTGGATGCTTTTTGTCATTTCTAACAACAAAAGCCCTTTTCATGTTGAGATCCGTTTGGTATGCTTGAAGCAAACTGCTCAGTCCTTAGATAAATAATTACTGAGTGCTTTGGGAGAAGTTGTTGGGTGCTAGAGACACATAGAAGATCTATGGTCTTTTGACACTAATAAGGATTAATTGATTAAGGAATAAAAAGCGCCAAGAAGAGTGATTTCTGATCTCTATTTATACACTTGATTGTATTTTTATCCCTGGGCCCTTGGGTTGATTGGAAAGTTAAGATCCTTTAATTTTTTTATAGCTCTCTTAAGGTGACAAAAAGATCACAACCAGTTCACCCCTTTGCTTACAGCACCAGGCTTTGGCAGTGTGGAATCCATTTGGGCCTCCTCTGATGCCTGGTCCCCAAATTTCAAAAACTATGAAACCCTGGGGCATTACCACCCCTTGCGCTGACACCCTGGCTGCTTTTGTTGCCTTTGGACTGGGTCTGAGGGAAAGGCTGTTGGCAGGGGAGGGGAAGGACAGGGAACCTGCCTGCCTGGGACTTGAGTCCTTGCTGGTGGAAGCGCGGGTAGTTCAGGAGCCATCCTTCTCTATTTGGGGGGCATTGCTCTTTGGGACCCGACGCCCAGCAGAGCTTCCCCGGGCCTCCTATGGAAACAGCTCTTAAGGCACTTTCCTGACACTCTGGTATGTTCACATCAATTGTGAAGCATGTTCCAAGTGCTAATATTAACCAACATTTGTGAATGGTTTTCCTTTTCTTACAAATTAGACCAGATTTAAGGTTATCCCTAAGAATCAACATCTCCAAAATGTTTTAGAAGACATTTTCAAATATTCTCCACCAGGGGGCACTCCATCACCGAAAGTCAAAGAATCCTTTCCAAATTTCTTGAGTAAAGGTTCAAAAATCTCTAAGTGCATTCTTTGCAGTTTGAGATATAAGATTTATCATCAGGGCAAAGGCAAAGAGTTCCATTTATATGACACTGCTACATTGATATAAAACCAAGCACTCTTTTGGCTTACTCAAGAATTTCGGAATAGACAGTTTATTGCTTAGATAGATCAGCACCCAGGTAACTGCAGAAAGGTTTGATGAAATTATTTAACATGAAGGAAAACATTGATCACTTTGTAATATAAAAAATTGCATTTAGTTCATTCTCAATATGGTGAAACAAAGTCTTCTGCTTTTACAATGCTCAGATTGTAAACTCTATGAGCATCTGAGCCTTTCCTGGTACAACTGTACTTCAGAGACCTGACACTTAATAAATATTTGCTGAATGAATGGATGACCATCGACATTAGAAACAATGATAATAACTAGCATTTATCAAATACTCCCTATATGATGGGCTCTGTCCTAAGTGGTTTACATTCTTCGTATCATTTCATCCTATCAATACCATGAAGTAGATATTACTTTCATTGGGTGGAGGAGGGAAGATTAGGTATTTTTCCCCAAAGTCATGTAGCAGGGGTGAAGAGGGGTTGGAACGCAAGCGTGTGTGACTGCAGAGGCTGCATTCAACCACGAGTGCAGTACCCTTGCAGAAAAAGACTGTGTGCCCAATTAACCTTGGCGGGGACATACTCCAAAGAAAGAGCCCTCAGTACACATCAGGGCCTCATTTCGGGTCCCTCTGCTGCAGTGCCAGAGCCTGCCTTGGCATGTCTGCTCCTAGAAACCCTCTCTTCAGGTGGATGAGGAGAGTCCACGATCATTGGTCCAGAGGAAAAGAAGCCGTTGCAACGAGTGGCTCTGGGGAGCTAGACTTTAGCCGTGGCCCCACTGTTACTCCCTTTTTCTGTTTCAGATCCATATGCTCACGTCTCCTTCCTCCATCGAAGCAAAACCACCGAGATCATCCACTCAACCCTGAATCCCACATGGGACCAAACAATTATATTTGATGAAATTGAAATCTATGGGGAACCCCAAGCCGTTCTACAGAACCCACCCAAAGTTGTCATAGAACTTTTTGACAATGACCAAGTGGTAGGTAATTTAGAATTTCTGAGATGACTTGGGGGAATGGTGGAGATCTGAAGGGATGTTTGTTGGGGGATTTAAGGATCGCTTGTTTCTCTAGGGCAAAGACGAATTTTTAGGACGAAGCATTTTCTCTCCTCTGGTGAAACTACATTCAGAAATGGACGTCACGCCCAAACTCCTCTGGCACCCAGTAAGGAACGGAGACAAGGTCTGTGGGGATGTCCTTGCCACCGCAGAGCTGATCCTGAGGCACAAGGTACGCTGCCGTGTTCTCACTCATGCGCTCCCACAGCGGCTTAAAACAGCTGCTCATGGTTCTAAGCACCGTTTGCTTGAACTAAAGGTAGCACTGACACTGCCATGTTTATTTCGCAGGATGGCTCCAACCTCCCCATCCTGCCCTCTCAGAGGGCTCCGAATCTGTACATGGTTCCCCAGGGGATCAGACCCGTGGTCCAGCTCACTGCTATCGAGGTAAGCTGCTCCCCGCGTTTTATTGATCAGATCAGACACGTGTGACTACAGAACAGGAGTCTCTTGTGTAGGGAATGGAATCGTGCGGCATATTTTCTTGCTGTCTCCAACTTCCTTTAGACTTTGTCGAAAAATTTGAGATATTCATGGACATAGAAGGCTTATTGAAGCAAGAAGGAGAGTCCATTCCCACGTTCCTCAGGGGATCGAAAGTCCTTGTTTGCTGGGAACCAGCAGAGTTCTGAGTTTTTCGGGTCGGCCAGAGAACCGGGAAAAGGAAGACGGGCCAGCAGGGAGTGGCGTGTACGGAGGCAGAAGTGGGGAGGGAGCCGTGGGCAATGGCGGCCTGCGGATGGTACTAACCAGGCGACCTGAGGGACGGTGTCTGCCCTACTCTTGAGGTTTCTCCCTGTCCAGTCAAGCAGCTGTTACCCCAAGATTTCCCATCTCTGGCTGTCTTGCTGAGAGTTCTCAAAGCCTGAGGCAGGGGGCTTTAAACAACTCTCATTTCTGAACGCATGTGCGTCAGACGCCATGTTAGGAAGTTTACACTTGACCCCCCGAGTAACGCTATGAGAGATGCTCAGACCAGTCTTCGTGTAGATGACACAGAGAGAGGTAATTTAACTCATCAGCATTCACCCAGCTGTGAGACGGCGCGGCCAGGATGTCATTCCTACACTGTTACCAACCCTGCTTTTTTTAGCAGCTCAGGCGGGAGGAGGAAAGGTGCAAAACCGCTCTCCTCGCATGACCTGCAGGCTTGCTCGGATAATGTTCAAAGATATTCTAGGCAGATCTGCACAAATTAATCTTAAAGACTTTGCCAGTTATTGAGACAGAATTTTTCCTTTTGAATATTGTTTTTCATACGCTGGGTTTCCTTCTCTCTTTAAATTGTTTTCTCAGATTCTAGCTTGGGGCTTAAGAAATATGAAAAACTACCAGATGGCCTCTATCACATCCCCCAGTCTTGTGGTGGAGTGTGGAGGGGAGAGGGTGGAGTCGGTGGTGATCAAAAACCTTAAGAAGACGCCCAACTTTCCAAGTTCCGTTCTCTTCATGAAAGTGGTACAGTATCAACATTCTGTCATAGTCCCTGTGTGTTGAAATGTGAATGTATATACCACACATGTGCACGCGCATGCGCGCGCGCGCGCGTGCACACACACACACACACACACACACACACACACACACAGTTTATTTATTTCCATAATCTGACAAATAGAAAAACCCTGCCTTATATCCAGCTTGTCAGTGACTTTTCCACCTTAGATGCTCACACTGTAGTGATGGTTTCTTAAAGCTTGAAACAACTCCAGTGACACAGAAATATCTGTGAGCAATAATTATTTATTTCTGCAGTAAACTTTCCATCTATTCAACTATTACAGGCTTTTGGTCAACTCCCAAGGGCAGAATATTAATTCCTAGTCGTGCATGGACCAGATGCACTGCCTATAGATGTAGAACCAGAACCCTCCGGATAAGGGTTGGCTGGCTAGGGGGCGGGGGGCAGCCGCTGTGGGGGAACCCATGTGGGGTGATGGGGCCATGGCTCTAACAGCTCATGACCGTGCCCCACCTCCAGGCACCCATGGGGTGGCCCCTTCTTCGCTCCATTGAGGGCACCCTCTGGCTATTAGAAATATGAGAGCATCGGGTCCAGTTCACAGTCCTCTGCCATAGACCCTGTGATACTTGGAGCCAGAAGAGGTCACTCAGCCTTTCCATTTTTAAAACAGTTAAACTCATAACTTTTACAAAATTTTTAAAAAATCTTTCTTTTTTACTCTACTATTACATAAAAGACATAAAAATAAAGGCATTTCCTTAGCTCGAAGGGTTGGAAGGCCTAGAACCTTCCCATTCTTTTCCCCACCTCGGTCATTTTCCTGCCCCTGATGTCACCCACACACTGCTCGTGGACTCTGGGATCATGTGGTTCAGCCTCTTTTTACAGATGAGGAAATGGAGAGGGGAAGCGACTGGTCCAACCTCATTGCGAATGTTAGGCCATGCCGCCTAATCTGCAGTGACTGTCCCAACTATTAATACAAGAGCAGCTGTAGCTCAGTGCTAGGTGCATTCATGCTCTGTGCACTTGGTCTTCAACCCTGCAGGGTGGGCATTTTCACCTCTCTTATGCCCACCTTGAGGGAAACCAAGAGGGTAACTAATTTACACAAGGGAACACAGCCAGCAAATGGGTGGCCAGGGTTTGGACAAACATCCCTCCAACTCCAAAGCCCAAGCTCTCCTCCCTATGGTGCCACAGATGGAGGGCCACCTGGATGCTCCCAGCCAGAATCCCAGAGTGCTGCCCCTGGGCCACTCCACCCATCCTTGTCCTCTCTCCACCCCTCCCCTACCTTCCAAATTCTGGTCTGGAATCTAACATTGGTCAGCGGGGGTGAGGGAAGCCACTCAGTCGACCCCAGCTCCTATTCCTACACAAGTCCAGAGACAAATTCACCTGAACCACCCAGCAAGCCCCTGGGTCAGCCCATGATTACCCAGTCAGGCAATGTCACTAAGGCCACCAAATCCATGTAGAGGAACCAGGAGGAGTCGAGGAAAAATTAGCATGCCATTTTTGGCACTGAACTCCCAGGGCTAAAAGACTCCCAGCCACAGTTATTTGCCTTGGAGTTTCAGTTGTCTCTTGACCATTTCTAAATTCTGCTGAGGACTTGGCTACTAGATTACCAAAGTCCTGGGTTCGCTGGCCTCGTGCAAATCCCCTCTTGGGAAGCAGAGTACGGGTCAGAGGTCAAGCGTGCTGGTTCCACATCACATTAGCTAACACAGGGCACTTACCGTGGGCCAGGTACTGTTCCATGCACTTCACAGATAGTAATTCAAGAACCCTGCTGTTGCTGATGAGATAACTGGGGCATGGAGGGGTTAGAAAGATTCCCTAAAGTGATGCAGTGCATGTTGGCAGAGGCAGGATCTGATCCCAGGCAGTCGGGCTGAGAGCTCATGCTCTTAAGCTCTGAGCTGCTTGCCTGGCACATAAATGACCCAACTAATTATTGTGAGTCCTCTGGGCTACTTGGCAAAATGAACCCTTGAGGGAATTTTTGGCAAAGCTGTCCTTGTCAGGTCTTATAAAGAAAGAGAAACGATACCTCCCTTTGTGCCCCCCAGTTACTGCCCAAGGAGGAGTTGTACATGCCTCCGCTGGTGATCAAGGTCATCGATCACAGGCAGTTTGGGCGGAAGCCCGTAGTCGGCCAGTGCACCATTGATCACTTGGACCGCTTTCGCTGCGACCCTTATGCAGGAAAGGAAGATATTGTGCCGCGGCTAAAAGGTAAAATGCAAATCTATAAATAAGTCTGGGGGCTTTTCTTGCATGGATCTACTTTAATCTTTACAAACCTTCTCAAGGTAAGTCCTGCATTTGTTGTCGAGATTTTGCAAATGAGGAAACAGTTTGATTTCCAGTGGGCTATGTAACTTTCCCAAGGTAATATGGTTGGTAAGTGGCAGAGCTAGGCTGGAATCCTGACCTGGTTTTGGGGGGCCCAGTGCTCAAGGGATGACCCTCTGAAGTGTCCTGCTCACAGATGAACAGGAGACTCCTTTTGAGGCAATGTTAAGTGCTTCATGAACTTGCCCTGTTTACCTTTCAACAAGCAGCCTGGCAAAGCAGGGAGGGCTGCTCCCACATCAGTGATGGGGATGAAGCGATTTCCTTCAACCTTCCACAAATGGTATCAAACACTCACTGAATACCATGCACTGTTCTAGATGTTTGGAGGACAGAGGGGACCAAGACAGCCATGTTCCCACTGTCACGGAGCAAGACTCCAGCAGGGAAGACAAACAAGGACATGGGGAGGTTACAGTCCAGAGCGATAAATATTTTGATGGGGAAATTCAAGGATGCTCCCCCGCCCCCCCGTACCCACCTGCCGTGAACGTTGGGGGAAGAGATTTCTATTTCAAATTAGAACAAATTGCTTTCCATCTGTTGTCACAACTCATTAACCCATCCCAACATTGTCGTGATGTAACTTGAAAGATGTTTCATTGTTATCCATAGAGGAAAAGTGTAAATGACTTGCACTAGGTCATATGATCACTGTGTAAGGGACAGAGCAGGGCATAATGCTTACTTTAGATTTCCATAATAAATAATATCTAACAATATTGCTACTACCCATTCAACAGTTAGCTGTTTTTCACTTACCATGTGCCAGGGACTGTGTTAGGGATGGGGTCTGGGCCACTCACATCAGTGCACGAGATCCCAGGACCCCCAGTCTTGAGATTAGACCCCAGTGGAGGCTGGAACACTCTCATTCGGCTGATCATCGTTTGCTGCAAGACTGTTTCTATTTAAGCAGCTGTGCCTCTAACCAGTTCTATTTAAGCTTCCGTAAGGTTTGATATTGATTTTCCAGGGCTTCCGAAACTCATCTGCTATGTGGGTCTGAGCATCCTGTATCTCTGATTCAGAGAAGTAGAAAAAAAATCCGCAGTCACATTTGAGCAAAACCCTACATGTGTTCATCAAGAAATATTCCACGCAAAACATTTTGTGCTGAATTGATGATGCCTAAATTAGCAACACTTTTTTTTTTTATAACAACAAGGATTATTGTAACTGTAGGAATTGTTTCGTTTGGGGTTACTAAATGAAAAGAAATCATTTTCCTAGCGTTGTTTTTGTTTTTTTTTTTTTTTACTGCTTTCATGAGAGAAAGTTCTTTGGTCCAAAGATGTGAAATCATTAGGAAGCTACAAACGCTGCAGACTGTCTCTGGCCCCAGAATCGCTTGTGTGGACCTGTTTGTGTCTGTGGGTCAGGGCTAGGCTGGGCCCAAGGCGGAGGTTGCCTGGTTAGTGATTCTATGTAATTAATGTAGAGTGTGGTCAACGCTTTGGAAAGCCCCAGAAGAGGAAAATCTGATACTTTCTTAAAACTAGCAGTAGGCTAAGAGTGGAGTATACCTCGTAGGCCTGATGTTGGAAGCACACGGAAGAACTTTTTTCTCTTATCCTCAGGCTTTGTTTACATGAGAATGGTAAAGTGCAGGGCTGATGATATAAGAAGGAACTTAGTGCCCATCTGCTTGTCTCCTTCTACATTGTTACCCTTATCAGGAGGGGCAGGGGCGCTTACCTGGGAAGTATAGAGACTGCTTATAGACCTGGGAGTGCCACATGGATATTAAACAACCACGCATAGCAACTGATACCCCGTAGATGCTCCACAAATGTCAGTCTCCCCTGCCTCCCCAGTGTCACCTGTATTGTTCTCCCGGACTCTGGTGTGATGGTTAAAACACAAGCCTTAGGGTCAGACAGATCTAGGTTACTTACTTCCACTTGCTACTAATTGTTTGACCTGAAGCAAGTGACTTGTTTTCTCTTATCTTTAATTTGTTTGTGATTAAATCTTTAAAATAGGAATAATGGCATATATTCGATAGGATTATTGTGGAATTAAATGAGATCATGTAGATAAAGTGCTTAGCCCAAGGCCTGACACGTGGTAGGTACCTACCTAAACATGTCTCTTCCCTCCCCTCCTTTATGTCCTATATGTCAGTGGCCTAGGTGGGCTAAACAGAAAGTTCTCTTGGCTTGGTGGAGTTTGTTCTGCCTGGGTTCTTGCCTCCTGTTGAATGTTTGGCTGCCCAATACTTCTTCAATAACAGGGAGCTGTTCCTCTCACCCCAGCCAACCCCAGGCTGAGACTTCGGCACCTCCTTTAGCTGAACCAACCCTGGCGAACTCAGGGGCTACTTCTGAGCCCTTGCTCTAACCCCAAAATCCTGAATCACAGATATTTGGGGAATTGTACATAAAGCCAGGGCATGTGCCTTCTCCCCTGCACACACTGTGAGAACAAGGGCCAAGAAAACCACTGCAACTTCAGACCTGAAATACACAACTCTCCTTTCTGCTTTTCTTTTCCTTTCCTTTCCTTTCTTTTTCTCATCTCTTATCTTCTTTTCTCTGCTTTATTTTCTGTGACTTAGGAACAAGTTCCAAGAAAAAAAGCCTCCTTTAAATGTAGGTTCCCCAACCACCACTCCTGTACCCTCTAAAGACATGTGTATTGACACGTTTCTTTTCTGAGAGCTTCCTATGTATAAGCACTGGACTAATTGTCCAAAACTAAAGAAAAATGGACCATACAGTCCCCTAGAAAATGTCTAAAACCATAATATATTTGGGGGAAATGATGGATTGTTGGGTTATTTTCTATACTCAGGTGTTGTCCTCTCCAGTAAGTTTCATCAAGGAATAAACTCTACCCTCCCCCCTAGGGCTGTAAAACTTGAACTTGCAGTAAAATGTTCACCACTGTATTTCTCTCAGTATCTTGGATTATGAAATTGTTTGTCTTGCAGTCTCCCTTATGTCTGCCCCACCCTGCCGGGACGTAGTCATCGAAGTAGAAGACACCAAACCATTACTGGCTTCTAAGGTAGGCTTCAGAGCTGATCACTGATACTGTCAGTTTTATCTTCCAGATGTCTAAGCATTTGGTGAATTCGGTCAAACATCTTTTGAGTGAAATTAAAACAATAATCATCAAACCAATTTATCAAGGACTGAGTAGAGACAAGAATCTGAATCTTGCACTCAATCAGTAGTTATGAAGACACGATAGTCTTCAGCCATCACTGATCAGTCACCCAGGACACTTAAAATAATACCCAGGCTTAGGCCCCACCCTCACACCTCAAGTGGCAGAAAGACCTAGACATCAGTACATTTTCAAATCTCCCCAAGTGATTTTAATGTGTGTTCAGGTCTGAGAACCACTGGTGTGGACAGTCTGAGTGTTATCATTTGCTAGAAAGTGAAGTTTCAGGAACAAATTTACACCATTGCAACATTCAGAACAGGGATGCATACGGCATGCCAGGTTTGTTCCTTGCACGAAGCAGAAGTGTCATGGATTTTTAATGACCCTATTTGTCAGTATAAGGGACACTCAGATTTTTATATTCACTGTGGTTTTGAAGTGAAGAAATTGATGGAAATACTCAGACCCTGTTTTAAAACCATTCCAACACTTCTACAAGAAGGAAAGGGGAAAAAAAGTCTCAGCCCAGAAAAAAGAAAACACCAAATATCTCCCTGTTTCTTTTGGCATTTACAATGAACTTTCACAGCATGTTTTAATGTGCAAACTGGCCAAAAAATGCACATGATTGCACTTTAATGTGTTATGTCCATAAACAGTGCCTTAAAAAAAGTCTACTTCCTTCCCACCGCATTAAACTCACTAACAATTGGACGGAGTAAAATGTGGTCTCCACAGCCAGCACCATGCAATAGTGTGCTTGAGTCTACTCTCTGGGAATCCTATACAATCACAAATGACAATATCAAATTTCCCATCTCATGGGGCAAAACTACTGTTATCCCTTTGTAAACCACCCCAAATATTCCCAATAAGACAGTAGTAGCCTTGGGGGAAGTTAATATACGTAAGACCCTTCTGTAGATTTTTACACCTGCTCTGGAAAAAGGATAGTTTAAGATCTTGCTCTATAATCTGCCTCCAGCTTTACCATCTCCCATTGTGAGTCAATTCTTACTACATGCCTCCTGTGTACTCAGTAGCCCTAAATACAGTCGGGGAGCAAGAGAAGAATAGTCCCCTGTAGTCCCAGCCACTCAGGAGGCTGAGGCAGGGGAATTGCTTGAGCCCAGGAGTTTGAGGTTGCAGTGAGCTATGATTGCACCAATGTACTCCAGCCTGGGCAACAGAGCAAGACCCTGTGTCAAAACAAAACAAAACCCAGAGATGACTAGGCTACAGTGGCAACATATTATAAAAGTTCAGTTTATATTGTAGAATTAAACGTTGCAACATAGCAGAATTGGAGGGGGTAGTATCAGTCATCCCCACTGTACTGTAAATGACTTTAATCAGCTTACTCTCCTAACACCTAGTCGAGGTGTACTGTTGATAAGAAAGGCTGATTGAAATCTCAAAAAACCTGAGTCTGCCTGTTCATCAGGGTAGACACTGCACATCTATGCAAAGTCAGATGAGCAAAATTGAACTTCAGAAGAACCAATGACAAGCTTGCTGATGTCCTGTATTATATGTATGTGTAGCGTACATGTAATGGACATGTATTACCACTAACCCGATGCAGGCCTTATATCTAGGTAAACGGGGGAATGTGTCAAAGCTAACTTTGCTGTTGCTGGGGGCTGGAGACTGTGGCTTTGGGCGACATCCTCATGCTCCAGAAACTCATGGCATTACCCTGAGATGTCCATGGGTGTTCTTAACAAATGGGCTGAGCACTACCACAAAAAAAGTAAGAAATAAGTATTTGGGGCAAATTGGTCAAGTGCTAGCCAGATAACACAGACATTCCTATCCGGCCGTCTCAACAATTACCTTCCAATTCCAGTGCTTAAGCAGTATGTCAACAGCACTCAGCAAAATGGCTTCTCCAACGACAGTGCATGTATGTATGATAAGAAAGTGCATGAAGCTGGCTGGGACTGTGGGACCTCAGTCTAAAGACTTGAATTCTTCTTTCAGATTCTTTCTATGAGTAGATTTTGGAGTGAAAGGTGATCTTTAAACACATATGATTGTTTTGAGCCTAAGGGAAGAATCTTCTGTGCCATTGAATGATTTGATTCCCACTGCAAGTTCATTATTAGATGTAATAAAGCAAGTCACGTTGGTGGCTTCCGTTACTTCTCCACATGAGCTAATGAGCGAGTAGGCACGAATAAATCCTCTCATACTAATCCTAAATTTCACAATCAGCAACTTGTCTTAAATAATGCTTTCTAAATCATGAACTCTTTTTCAAAGCAATTTTGAATAGCTGCAAATAAATGTGAATAAACAGACTCTAAAAACCCGAACTCAGGAACCATCGAGAAATGTTAGAGTACTTTTAGAATAAAATCCCTCTCTCCAAAATCTCAATTTGGCTGTGATAATTTAACCCTTAATCACTTTGATATGTGTCTAATAGAAAAAATTGATGTACCTGTCTGTCTCTCTGCCTCTCTTGGCAATTCTGTTGTGCTGAATGAAAATCAAATTTGGAAAATACGTAGCAGCTGTGAGAAGTGCCCATTAGAAATGAACTTGAAGTTAGGATTTCAGAAAGGGGATCTAGGCAGCCTTTTGTTAAGCTGCCGCTGAGGATAAGCTTGGCTGACGTCCCAGCAGGCACCAGGACCTCACTCGAGATCCCCGTCCCAGCTCTTCATTTTCTCAGCTCCTGGTTGTGCCCCGAGGTCAGAGTGGATTTTCCGTGCAAAAATTCAAATGGAAGTGAAAAACTCGACATCCTCATATTAGAGTAATTTTGATGAATGAGCACTTATTTGGTGCTGTGACATAGGCACAGGGACCTGCATGATGAGGTTGCAGCCAGACACATCTGGTGACAGAGCAGTTTTTGAAGGGAGGAGAATTGGGCCAAGTTGGGGAAATACTTTAGGAGATGAATGGAATGAAAGGTCTGGGGCAGGGAAACGGGCAGCCCCCACCTCCCTCCATGCGACCCCTGTGTGAGCAGACTGGGACATGTCTGATTCTGTTGGAAACGTGAGATGGGGTGGCCACCTCCAAGCCTTTCATTTCAATACTGTGTGTAATCCTTTTGCATATTTGCAGAGCAGAAACCAATAAAGTGTGTTCAGTTATGAGGTCATTTTGACTAGAATAATTTAAATAATCCATCGAAATGTCGATAATATAAAGCATGTATGAGAAATAATTTCTCCTTCTCTCTTTCTCTTTAAACCTAATGTTCATGGGGTCTCCATACCCGTGTGACCTGTTATGTGGTTTGCCCTCTCCTGACCCTACACGTGGGTGAGCAGCTGACAGAAAAGGTAACCGTTGTACTCATTTTGCTACATTTAAGATGCATAAGCCTCTCACAGTGGCTCAAGCTAGTAATCTGAGCACTTTGGGAGGCTGAGGAGGGAGGATCACTTGGGGCCAGGAGTTCAAGACCAGCCTGGGCAACACAGTGAGACTCTGTCTCTCCAAAAAATAAAAAAGAAGTTAGCCAGATGTGGTGGCATATGCCTATCGTACAAGCTACTCAGGAGACTGAGGTGGGAGGATTGCTTGAGCCCAGGAATTTGAGGTTACAGTGAGCTATACTCAGACCACTGCACTCCAGCCTGGGTGACAGAGCAAGACCCTGTCTTAAAAAAAAAAAAAGAAGAAGATTTATGTACTTTATGCCTATGATTGATATGTAAATAAAATTTTTCTAAATCCAGGGGTGGATTACTGACCCATAAAGGGGAAGTAAATCTGTGTAGCTCTGTGTAACACACACGCAAATGCATGTATATATAACACAAACAAGAAATAGCCTTTCTTGTCTGTTCTTCCTTTCCCCAAAGACTGAATAGGAAGCTATACTACAGGTGACATTCTGTGTTTTTGGCGATATCACTACTTCCAAGGGAGAGGAAAAGAAGCAATGGTTGGGGCTGATGAGAGTCTATTCTTGTTATAAGTCTGAGTAGGAGGCCTTCTGCAGTTCGAAAATGTTCCTCAAGTGACTCTGATATGCTGTGCCTTCTGCCCATCCAAGAACCATCCACCAAAACCAGAGGTCCTCAACACTGGCTATACGTCAGAGTCACCTGAACTTATGACAGCATATTGGACACCCAGGTCTCACCCTGGACTGACTGAATCAGAACCCCCAAGGGCAGCCACTGGTCTAAATGAGCCATAATGCCTCCCAACTGCCATTTCACATTTTGTAGTTTTCAAAGCTCTTTCACCTAATGAACTTATTGGATTTCCAGAACAACCCTCTTAGGTAGATGGAGGCAGGTAGTGTTATTATTTCATTTCATGGAGGAAGAAATTGATGCTCAGAGATGGTAAACAATTTGCCTAAGCTGCTAAGGTTTGTAACATAAGTGTAGGCTTATAACATAGAGGAGGGAACTAGAATTAGAACCAGTTTTTCCAACTCTTAGCTTAGTGAGTGTTGTGTTACAATGCATTACTGGCTAAAAGGGTGAAGAAAATTAGATAGTAGAAAACATATATTGAACATATATTCTTTAAATTTATATGTATATATCAAGTCAACAGGATAAAAACAGAAAAACTTAATTGTGTCTATAGGATATAAGAAATTTGTCTAGCATAGCTATGGATATTAAAGCCAAACGTGTCTTCGGCCAAGAATGGTCATTTCACCCCCAGCTTCTGAGCAGAATTGTGACTGCTTTGTCCACCATGCATGTAAACAAAAGTGTCATTTCACCTACAACAGTTCCAGAAGTGCCTATTTCTTCTTACCTATTACACATGAGTTTTCCCGCACAGATTGGAAATCCAGGTCATCACTAAAGATTTTTCCATTTTGACATGTCTTTAGGAAGAAGAGGTCGTGGACTGGTGGAGTAAATTTTATGCTTCCTTAGGGGAACATGAGAAATGTGGACAATATATTCAGAAAGGCTATTCCAAGCTCAAGGTACGTGGACGTATGTTGCTGTGGGCGGGGAATGAACATCCATTAAAACTGGCCGCATGCAGAGCTAAGATGGCCACTGAGAGGTCCCTTGGTGGGTGCTAATGGGAAGGGCCAAGAGAACCTCCAACCTCCCGGAGAGCCCTTTTGCACGGTTTGGCTTTGTCAAGATTCCAGGGACTAGAGGACAGCTATTGAGTCATGGTTACGTGACTGCCACTCTGGGGCTTGGAGGCATCTGGCAGAGGGTTGGGAATGGGTTGGCACCACACTAATTAGTCCCACAATGATCCTGTTTGACTCAGGGAAACCCAGAAGGCATAGTGCTCTTTGCAGAACAACACAGGATGTCAACATGCTTCACTGTGTCCTCTGAACAGGGATTGGTTTCACTAGCTGAAAAGTTGATTCTGTCACATGTGTACAGCATAAAGTCACAACCGTGGGAACGTGTGTCCAGGAGGAAGCCAGGTATTGAGCTAGGCAGGGCTGGCCGTCTTTGATATTGCTGTGAATGTTTCGAGTTTTCCAATTCTTCATTCAATTTTTCAGCCTGTGATGTACTCACGTAGAAGCAAACGCTAAAGTTTTCAGAACAATGTATATGAGGAACAAACTTTAAGTTGAGAAATAACTAGTCACTAAAATGATTTTCCCCATGAAAGTGGAAAAAGCCACATCCCTTCATGTGATTGTCATAACCTCTCGGTGCAGCTTGAGAAACACTAGCATGTAAAGAACCACTAATTTAGCAATATGATCAAACTGGGCTGGGGGATCAGTTTCACACTCCATTCTCCCTCCCTCCCTCCCTCCCGCCTTCTTTCCCTCCTTACCTCCTCCTCTCCTTCCTGCCTTCCTTCCTTCTTTCCTTCCTTCCTTCTCTCCTTCCCTCCTCCTCATCCTTCCTCCCCTCCCCTTCTTCTAGCCTTCTCACTGAGGAATAATTTACATACAATAAAGTGATCCGTTCAGTGAGTTTCGACTGTTGTCTGCACCTGTGTGCACCACCACCGAAAACAAGACCAAGAATATCCCCCTCACCAGAGAAAGCTTCCCTGTGTCTCTTTCCCATCAATTCCCCACAATCCTGATCGCTCCCAGGAGCAGCTGCTCTGACTTCTGTCACCATAGATTGATTTTGTCTGTTTTTAAGCTTCACATAAGCGGACTAGTCTGGGATATATTCCGTGTGTCTGGACTCTGGCCCCACGTTGCAGCTTTGAGATTCACCACGTGGTTATGCGCATCTGTAGTTTGTCTTTTCTTACTGCTGAGTAGGATTCCTCGTGTGGATGTACCAGAGTTTGTGCACTCCTTCTCCTGACCCTGAAGCTGCTGTGAATATCCTTGCACCATGTGGACATGTTTTCATTTCTCTTCGGTAAATACCTAGGCGATTTCTGGATCACCGGATAGGTGACTCTCTAACTCCCCAAGAAACCGCCAGGCGTTTTCCAAAGTGGTTGTGTCGTTCTCGCTCTCGCCAGCAGTTGGAGTTCCAGCTGCTCCGTCCGCATCCTCACGCCCCTTGGCATTGTGGGTCCTTTGGATTCTAAGCTCTATCTGCATTTTAATAAAAAATTAAGAATCTGTTGATGGTTTTCAGATATATGATTGTGAACTAGAGGATGTAACAGAATTTGAGGGCCTGACGGACTTCTCAGATACTTTCAAGTTGTTCCGAGGCAAATCAGACGAGAATGAAGATCCTTCTGTGGCAGGAGAGTTTAAGGTGAGGAAAATGTTTGTGTTGCCCTGTTTAAAATCTACCTTTAATTTCTTTATAGACCTGAGATAAAGGACAACCAACTTCTGGGGCAGGGACATGTCCTCCAGCCTCTGAAGGGTGCTGGAAGGTGCCACCAACAAGGGCGATAGGGGAGCCAGGACACTCAAGGCCATTTTCAGTCTCTCTTCCTTCCTCCCGGCTCCTGCCCACCAGTCCTGAGTCCTGTAGATTCACTCTGTCCAAGATCTAGCTCCTCCTCCCCATCCCATGGCAGAATCATTGCGACAACTTCCCAATTGGCCATCCTTGCCACCTTTCTTGTTCCACTGCAGTCCAGCCTCCACGAAACCAAATCTGATCCTATTTTTTGATGGCTTAAAGACATTGTTTGGGTTTCCACAGGATCAAGTCTCAACTCCTTCCTAAGGCAGAGCCTGCCTTTCACAAGCTACGTGTCCCCTCGTCCCCCTCCCTCATGCACCCCACCCTCCAGCTGGGGAGAGCCTGTCCCCAGCCCGGAACACACCTTGTCCTCTCACTGCTTGGAGCCCTGGGACAGACTCTTCTTCCCTCCCTGGAAGCACTCCCTTCCCTCTTTGTGGTCTGACGAAGCCCTACTCATTCCTTTAAGCGCCAAATGTCAGCTCAAATGTCACATTCTTTGTCAAGTGTTCCCTGATTGCCTCGGGCAGTGTGACTCACTTCCACTCTGGGCTCCCACAGGTCTGTGTTCAGGGAAGCTCCTCTCTCATTGTCAGTGTCTGCTGTTGTGATCGCCTCTCCCTGCAACCGCACTTGGCAAAGCCAGGACAGCTGTGCTGCCACTTCTTAATCCTTTGCCAATAGCAGACATTGTTAATGGACCAGATGATGGTGCCTTCCTGGTGGTCTCCAGGGCTTCTCATGTCCCACCGAGTAATCAAAGTCGGCAGGAGAGTCAGCCCTAGTGGACATCCCCGTGCCACACTGGTTTCCTTAAGCTCAGTTTTGGGGTCCCAACACCTGGCACATAGTAGGTGCTTGTTTCACGCTGCTAATGAATGAAGACAGCTGGAGCTAAGATTCACGCGTTCTGAATAACCAGCTTCAGTGCTTTCTGTACCTAAGCTGGTTTCAAGACAAAATAGATGGCCTCTCCAGGGCCTGCTGGCTGATTCCTCAAAACACATTTCCTGTGCCCCTGCTAGAGGCCCAGCCCTGGACTGGGCCCTGGAGATAGAGGGACGAACGAGACCGAATGCCTCCCTCAGGAAGCTCACAGTCCAGTAAAGGACATAGGCAATAAATAGCCCATTTCACCCTGGAGGTCGGGGCCGAGTGCAGGGACAGAGACACTCAGGGGACACACCCCACCCAGGGGCAGTCGGGGAGGTTTCCTGAAAGAATTGGCCCCTTTCAGCTGAGACCTGAAGATGAACAGGAGTTTGCGTGGGAGGGGGAGGTGTGCGCAGGGCTGATGCAGGAAAAGGGAACTCAGCCTTGCTGCCTCATTGGGTTGAAGAATATTTACTGTTATTCCTCTCTGCGAAGTGTGCGGCATCTCCCTCCTTACCACCACCTCTCCAGAGCACGGCCCGCAGCACCCCCGCCCCTCTCCCGGGCTCTGGTCTGGCGCCCTTGCTTCTGCCTGGCTCTCTCTTCTCCCCTGTGGGCTCTCAAATAATTACCTTATAATCACTCCACTTTCCCTACTGCAAATACACAAAGTGTGTGTGGCATACGTTGTCTCCTCCACAAAGGGCAGCGGCTCCATCACCCAGTTCCACCCCCCTGATGGAGGAGGGCACTGCCCAGAAGCCCCCTGCCCGGGGCACCCAGGCCCTGTAAATCCACCTGTGTCTCTCTCTTAGGGCTCCTTCCGCATCTACCCCCTGTCGGATGACCCCAGCGTGCCAGCCCCTCCCAGGCAGTTTCGGGAATTACCTGACAGCGTCCCACAGGAATGCACGGTTAGGATTTACATTGTTCAAGGCTTAGAGCTCCAGCCCCAGGACAACAATGGCCTGGTAAGAGTTTGGGTGTGGGGCCTTCTCCTGTAGCAAGATAATTATAGTCATCAGCCTCAGTAATTGTCATGTTCTTTCTTTCTGGGCGTCTGTTATCTCACTGGGGGAAAGATATCTATCCAAACAATGTATTCGGGAGGATTGTCCTGATGGGGATTTATCTAAGAGCTTGTAGGGGCTTAAAGTCCTCTGGTTCATCCTTCTCATCTTACAGGTGTGAGCTGGGACAAGATTCACTCCAGTCACACCAGCAGGCGTGAGCAGAGCCCGGCTCCCCTGCACCCACACTACTGGCTTCGTGCCACCGAAAGGGGAGTGTTGCTCTGGCCTCGTCCTAGGCTCACGGGTGCCACAGTGGCTGCCTTGTCATCAGCTGGGAGCAGGTGTGGAGGGAAGTGGAGTCTGTCCCAGAACTTGACTTCTACTTGCACCCCGCGGCGATGTAACACCTGTCTGTTTCGTCCTCGCAGTGTGACCCTTACATAAAGATAACACTGGGCAAGAAAGTCATTGAAGACCGAGACCACTACATTCCCAACACTCTCAACCCAGTCTTTGGCAGGTGATGTACATTTGTAAATGTTCTTTTGTCATCCATCTCCTCATGGAACATGCACGAAGGATGTCATGTGTGCCCATCCCTGGTCTAGGCTCTGACACCATGGTCATGATCTAAACAAACATGCTAGTCAGAGGAGCAGGTGATAAGCAGGTAAATGCACAAATAAAAGGATTTCGTGGAAGTGAAAAATGCCGTGATAAAAGTAAGCGACGAGAAGGGCTTCTCTGAGGAGAGATTTGCTCTGTGACTTTGGCAGGTAGACGGACAGCGTTAGTACCGGCATAGGAGTCTGATAAGCTGTGGGTTCTACACAACAAGGACCAGGGGAGTGACTTCCCTGCAGTGACATGCTGCTCCCACGTCCTGATCCAGTTTGGGGTCTGTTTTCTGGGATGTTTAATTCCACCATTTTGACCCGGTGAATGCACCATTGACGCCATTACCAAAATGAAGGAGGCGGCAGAAAGTGATAGGACCAAAATGTCCCACTCCACCTGTCTTCTGTTGCCAGAGATCCTTCAGATGGCATCATTTTCTTCGTCGTTATGACTCGGGACTTGGACTGTGATATTTATCTCATCAGAACCATCTCAAGTGACCAAATCCACATGATCTCTAAACAGGACCGGCATTTTCCAGCAATAAACAGTTTCCACATTTAATAATAGCTAATGTTTGCTGAGCACTTACTGTGTGCAGGCATTGAGCTGAGCTGTTTATGCAAAACATCTCAAAAATCTCTATTTTTATCCCTACTTTACAACAGAGGAAACTGAGGCACAGAAAGAATCAGTGCCTGATGTACCCCTGTGCTAAAGGTGAGGACCCAAACCCAGGCCACCTGGCCCCAGTCTGTGTGGCTCAATGCTGCACTCTCTGCTGCTGCCATGGCCTGACTTTCATCTCCACGTCAGGGCAGGGCAGAGATCGGCAGCCCAACTCAACAGGGAAGGGAAACAGGGCTCCCAGAGCTCTGCGGACAGAGGTGCTAAGTGACAGAGCCAGGATTTAGGTAGGAATTCCTGATTCCAAGCCCCATGCTTTTCCAACCCCCTTGGTGATGTTTCGTATTGGTGGCAAAGCCGTCACCTGTAGAGAAATGTTCTTTGTTCACGACGTTTGTGAAAATGGTGTAATTTCCCCAGAACCTTGCTGAGAATATTGTGCTGTTGTCTGCTGTGTGGCCTGTGTTTTTATTTCTGGCTTTGTTATCTTGCCCGTGCACTTCCTGTCTACTCACGTTTGTTGGGTTGTGCCCTTACCCACTGCATTCGCTCTCTCGTGTGTCTCACACGCACGCACGTTCATCACTCACAGTCTCTCAAGTCCGCACACACCTGGTAACAAACACATGCACACAAGACCGCACACTCAGCCCTGGGAGCGCACGCATGCACACCCGCGTGCGCTCGCTCCCCCCTGTGCTGTGCGCCCCCAGCCGCGTGCCGAGGCCGGGGAGTGGAAGTAATCCTCTGGCACAGCAATGTGATCATTTTCCTTTTCTTCCACTGATCCAGCCCTGGGGTCTAGACAGGAAAAGGCACGCAGGGCAGGAAGGAGGGCTGCCGTAAGGGAGACGGGGAGGCAGGGAGAGCCAGCTTTGAAGGCAGAAAGGCGGCCCTGTCTGAATTGCTCGTCTCAGAGGAGCCAAGCTCAAGCTTAATTAAGTGGCAGGAAATGTCTTGCTTGGAGCCACCCTGGAAGGAAGTGATGCTGTCAGGCGCTGCTCAGCCAATGGCCGCCTGGCGGGTGTGGAGACTTCCCCTCAGCCAGCTCAGGGCCACGGCCTCTGTCTTAGGGGGTGGCTTTCTTAGCAGAGATTCCTGGGGACTCTGGGACAGGAATTCAGGAAAAGGCAACCTTTCCTATGTGCTTGGCCATCACTCAGCACATTCCTGTCGCATCATGGCATTCTCCAGGTCACATTCAAAAGAAAAAAAAAAAAAGGAAATCAGTGTCTTCTATAAGATATTAATTTGATGTTCCAAGAAAAAAAAAAACAGTATTCCTTAGTCAAACCAAGACACTTGGGTTAAAAAAGATTATAATTGCAGGACTTCTCAGAGCTTTTAATTTGTCTATAGGAACTCCAAAAGAAGTGATTCTCAATGTTATTTGATCAAAGAATTCTTTTTCTCAGAGGACACATATTACCTGTCCCTTGGAATCTGGTATTGGAAATGTGACATCCTGGGGCATGTGTGGTTACGGTGCTTCCTGTGTGCTCATGATACAAGCACCTTTTCCCATGTGGCTACCTGCCTCCTGCAGGCCTCTGCCGCCGTCTAGAGAAGTTGCTCTAGATAGCTTGGGAGCTCTTCTCCAGAGCCCCATGGACACACACCCTTCTGTTCAAGTGGGTCAACATTCCTGGCTCTTCGGGCAGGAACCAGTCCACACACCAGAGTGCAGGGAGGAGGGAGGAGACTTCTTGCAATTTTTCCATCAACAAACTTTACTGAGTACCTTCTCTGGGAGTAGTACCTCTGTGGATGGTGCAGATACAGACTCCAGCACCCATCTGGAGCTTATGCCATGCACTTAGCACCCTCTGGATCACAGTCCTCACCTACCACAAAGACTACTGTTTGATTATTTATCTTTATCTCAGAACGGTTTGCATTTTAATGCTGTCTCCATAGAAAAGTCTTAAAGAACCAAAGCCAATGGCAAGGGTCTGGGAGGAGGGAGGAATCTTCTGGGCACCCTGCACATCACACCGTATGGTGAATTCCACTCACACCCCTGCCCTGTGCTCCTGCGCGGTGAGTCAAAGGTGTTCTATGGCATAGTGGTCCCTGTTGGGACAGGGGAGGGAACATAGTAGGGGCACAGATAGGGGACTGTAAACCAGGGTGATTGTGCTTTGCTAATCTCCCAGCCGGGTGGAGATAGATGCTCAGGAGACCAGGTAAATAGTCACGCGATGATCATAAAGTTAATGATGTTATTAAAATAATGCATTACTGTTATTATACTGTGGTTTGAGAAACGCACTCATGCCAAATGCTTTCTAAACATTTCTTCACTCAAACCTTATAACAACACTGGATGGCAGGTATTATAATCACCATTTTACAGACGAGAAAACTGAGCACAGAGAAGTTAAGTAACTGGCCTCGAGTCCCACAGCTAGCAAGCAGCAGAGGTGGGATTAGAAGCTAGGTTTTTAAAGCCCGTAATCTCCTGCTGAGCAAGCATATATTCTCTTACTGTTCTTCTTACTGGTATGTGCTATTTATCGAGTCTCCATACACCACCACTGACCCGGTTATCCCGTCAGATGTTCTCCTCCAACAGCCACGGCCGTGCCTGGGAATGCTTGTACGGAGCCCCAGCTTTTGTGAGATACCGGGACGGCTCATGGAGCTTCTAACCTTGCATTTGTTTATTTAGAATGTACGAACTGAACTGCTACTTACCTCAAGATAAAGACCTGAAAATCTCTGTCTATGATTACGACACCTTCACCCGTGACGAAAAAGTGGGAGAAACAATTATCGACCTGGAGAACCGATTCCTTTCCCGGTTTGGGGCGCACTGCGGCATCCCTGAGCAGTACTGCGTGTAAGTTGCTCTGGCCATCAGGGAGGCCATTGGCTCCATCCGACAGTCACACCTGGGGCAGCTTTGGCGCTCTACCTCGGTGTCTTTCTTCCACTGCTCCTTTCAATGGGCTAAGTACCATTTTTAACGATAGGATTGTCATAGGGAGAATCAGGACCACTATGCGTTGCCCACATTCACATCACATTCTGTGTAAAATGGGGCCCGCTGGAGCAGTGCCACACCTTGGAAGTGGCATATGTCACAGCTCGGAGAACCAGTCCCCTTATGCCCCCTCTTTGAGCCTCTCCTGGATGTCAAGGACTGAGGGCCAGCAAGGTTTGATGGCGGGAATTCCCTGCCCGTGGGAAACAGGGATTCCTTCCCCCTCCCCCCAATTGATGGATTTTGTGACATCCCTCTTCCTCTGCCTGCTACACTGCGTCTTTCCACAATATCTAATGAGACGTAACTTGCAATTTCTGGTTTATGAGTTTTCCTATTATGATTACAAGGATCTCAGTTAAACTCCTCATTTTTACGGAGGAAACCAAAGGCTAAATAAATAAAAATAACAGATTGGCTAAGGCCAAAATAACGTGGATTTTAGTCCTCAGAAATAGATTTCTAGGCAAAATCCAAAGTGGAGAACACATTCCCTTCTCCTATTACACGGAAGCATCTAGAAGTATATGTGTATGTGTGTGTGAAACCAAGAAGAACCTGTGGGCCCTGCAGTAACTCCAGCACCTGTGTGTGATTTTATTCACAGTTCTGGAGTCAATACTTGGCGAGATCAGTTGAGACCAACACAGTTGCTTCAAAATGTAGCCAGATTCAAAGGCTTCCCACAGCCCATCCTCTCCGAAGATGGAAATAGAATCAGATATGGAGAACGAGACTACAGTTTGGATGAATTTGGTGAGCACATTGCTGTGAATTGCAGACTGGTACAAAGTGTAATAACCCACTTATGTTGCTGGGTTTGGGGGAGTGGGGTAGACAGAGCCAGGACCCTCATTATACCATATGAGACTCTGCACAAATGACATTATGTAACAACAGCCACGTTATAGTAGAGTTTTGCCGGCTTGTCAAGTGTCAAAGTGGACACATTCTCTTGCCTGTCTTTTTGTCACTCGCCCTTTTTAAGTCCTAGCCACTTGAACTTTGAACACAAAGTTCTAACAATTCACTAATTTCCATGTAATACACAATTAGCTCAAAAATGCTCAGACAGTGGGGCAAGAATTTCTCTTTCAAGTTTATTCCATCATTCCCTTCTCCGAGAAGCCTGAGGGACACTGGATATGGATTTGAACAGCCCACTAAGTTCCCATCGGGTTCACATTCAGGCTTGGGGCTTCATTCTTTCTCAAGCAGTAATTTGTAATACGACCCGTACTGACACATGAACAGCTAGCCACACTACGACAGCAACAGAAATAGGCTTCATGGAGCATAAGCGCTATGGTGTGCTGCCATGCTTTGCAGGGGCAGGGATACCCAGTGGGTGGTAGTGGGGATGGCCTTCAAGGGTGCTGGACTCCCTGTGGGATACCCAGGGAAAGCTGAGCAAAGACACACAGGAGGGAAGGTGCTTCCTGATCCTCAACTTGGTCCTTGACCTTGTAATTAACTATGTTCTGTCTTTCCATGTTAAAGGGGACTTAGTCTTAGTCAATATCAGGGATGATTAGATGAAGAAATGCTGATGCTGCTAATGTGTGGACCTGCAAAATGATTGCAAATAAACTGGAAGCAACATGGTCTAGTGGTTTAGGGTACCCCCAAATAATCAAGTAGCTAGCCCCCCAAAATTGTATAAGTCATGGGAATTTTTCTGATTATTTTTGTCACATAACAAATCACCCCAAAACTTAGCAACTGAAAATAACCATTTTGTTTTGCTCACAATTTTGTGGGTCAGGAAGGGGCTCAGCAGTTCACGCTTGAAGTCGCTAACGCGATTGCAGTAAGATGGCAGCTGGGGGTGCTGACATCTGAAGGCTCTGCTGAGGGGGGACAGCCCAGGCGGCTCAGCAGACAACAAGAGCATATCCATGGGCCTCTCCAGCAGAGCGCTCTCTGGACATTTGGGCTCCTTACCTGGTGGGTGGCTTCCCAGACCGAGTGTCCCAAGAGAACCAGGCAGGAGCTGCATGGCCTTTTCTGTCTAGCCTGGGAAGTCACACGGCTTCCTTTCTCCAGATTTTAGTGTTTGAATATGTCTCCAGATTTAAAGGGAAATGCCACAGACCCCACCTATTGATGGGAGAAGTGTCAGAGAATTTGGGGGCCGTGTTTTTAGAATGCCATAGTGATGCTAGCTGCTGTAACAATTGAACATCCAAATTCTAGTAGTTTATTACAAAAGCATTTTATTTCTCATTGATTCAAAATAGGTGTTCTTATAGGTGGGTGGCCCGCCTTCCGAGTGCAGGGCCCTCCCATCTTCTAGCTCTGCCATTCTTCAGTGCAGGCATCTAAGGTTGCGTTCTTTTCTGCATCCAGGAGAGAAAGGCGTATGGAGGATCCTCCCAGGAGGGACTTATGAGCCAGGTCTAGAGATGATACATGTGTCACTTCCACCCATATTATGCTCTAGCTGAGCCTGTGGCCTCATCTAGCCACAAGAGAGGCTGGGAAGCAGAGCTAGCCAGGAGCTTGTGCCACTGAAGTCAATCCAGAAGGTGCCCACTTACACGTTTCAGTGTGTTCTGGTCCCTTAGCTATTGGCAGTCCACACATTGGATGTGAGCCCAGGTGGGGCAGGGCCCCTGGTCAGGAGCTACTTCTATCAACTATTCCTTCACCGGTCAAAGTTTGCACATTGGCACTGCCCGTCCATTTTGGCAAAGTCTGGGATAGGGGGCTTCAAATACCTCCAGGCAGTTTGGCTGAACTTTTCCCAAATGCCCATCCTGCTTCACTGTCACTTTCCATTCCAGAAGCCAACAAAATCTTGCACCAGCACCTCGGGGCCCCTGAAGAGCGGCTCGCCCTTTACATCCTCAGGACTCAGGGGCTGGTCCCTGAGCACGTGGAAACGAGGACTTTGCACAGCACCTTCCAGCCCAACATTTCCCAGGTAAAGGGGCTTCCCTCCTTTGAAGACCCACCATCCACGCCCCAAATGCAATGGCAATGGCCAACAAGATTTGCTTCTCTTGTCGTGTCTGAATACTTTCTGATACACAAGAAATAGAAATGAAACTCAGATTAGCTTCATCCCAAAGGGGAATTCATTGTAAGAATTTTCAGATAACTTACTAAGCCCTGTTACAGGTTGGCTGTAACTCAGAACAAACCTGAACCAGCGTCTTTCCCCGTCTCTTATCTCTTTCCTCTCTGAGTCTATTTAATCTGCCCTCTTGCTAGGATCATCTTCCTATGAGTCCAAATATTATGTACAGTTCCTGAGTGTTCTGTGTTATAATATAACCCATCTACTTCCAAATGTCTATGGATTGGTTGCCCCAACTTGGCCCAATTGCCTACCATGGAGCCACTCAGCTATAGCCAGGACAGGAGGGTCTGGGAAAGTGAGTGAGCTTGGCCTGGCATCGGGGGGAGGTGCCATCTGAGACCAAAGCATCAGGGAAGTGGGGACCATATGGATAATGGTGGGGAGGGTCTGTTCCCAGAAGATGGGAAGCAGTTTCCAAAGAAGAAAAATGAGACATGGCCAGTGACAAGATAGTCTATGTGGAATATTGTTATAATGAAGATTTCTGGGATGTGTCTGCAGAGATTTGGATCCACTAGGTCCAGGGTGGGGCCAGGAATCTGAATTTTAACAAGTACCTGGAGGGATTCTGATCACACTCTAAGGAATATTAACTAATGCAAATATTGTTGATACTGACAAGAACACAATGGACAAAGTAATCTCTCAAGAGCAGCCACAGTGGCCTGGGCTTTCTAGATTATTTTTTCACTTGCTTCTTGCCTTTATTCTGTTCCACATTTCTATTCCTTCCTTTCTGTATTCTCCTTCCTTCCACCAAAGAGCCTATTTTACCTCCTCTTTCCTCTTACCCCTCAACTGCAAACAGAGTCTCAACAACTGACAAAGTGAGGAAGATTTCTCCCTGGGAATCCCCAGGGCCCCGTCACTTCTGCCTACAGTATTAAACGCAGACTGTGGCTAGGTTTTAGGAGACACCTGGAAGCCTATCGTTCCGCAGTGTGCTTGATGTATTGTAGAGCCCTGAGCCCTAGAGATTAGTTGGAAAAGAGTCAGGATCATAGTACAATATATCTCTTTTCAAGAGCTCCAGTTAATTCATTTGATCACAATGCATTAGGAAGCCAATCTAGTGGTTTCCTTGGCAACTTTCTTGAAGACCAATCTGTTTTTCTCTGAAGACAGAGTCTATAAGACATCCAAAAAAAGTTTGGAGACTATAAATTGGTTTGTATGGTTGATATAGTTTTTTAATGGCATTCCTAGCCTGTCTGGAAGAACATTTCAGTCAGATGGATGGGCCCAGTCTGGCAGTCAGAGAGCTGAGTTGTCCTCACCAAGATGGCGGCAAAAGTGTTGCCCAACTTTTGCCCTCCCCTGTCTGCAAGCTTCTTACTAGGCGGTGGGCACTAGTGAACCCATGGCAGGGAACCCTCGCCTTTAGGAACAGTAACATTCTTGATGTTGTTTGAGTCCCTCCTTTGAAAGTGCCGTGTTGTAAGTTTTTCTTTACAAAGTTAAACACCATTTTCATTACTTTGATTTTGTATGTTGAGGTAATTGGAGAAACCCTTGGGGATCACAAAACTGGGACTGATATGAAGTGGGCAACGTGATGATGAATAGAGTGACAGCAGGAGAACTGTTCGAGGGTGAAGAACCCAATTTTAAGTCATTATAAGAGGGTGTGTGTGTGTGTACTGGGGGTTGGGTTAGTGATGGGAAGCCCCTCGTCTTATTAAGCAGGGAAGACTAAGGTGGGCATTTGCAGCCATTAGAGACCCCAGGGTGAGAATTGGATGTGGGTGGCCTAAATGACATTGTAGATAAAAGATTAATCTTGGTATGTTCTACTCCACTTATTGCCTTCCATATGGACTAATAAATTGTCAGGTCCAAAGAAATAGTTTTACATAAGAAATATGAAAGAAAATTGTTGTTTCTACCAGCCATAATATAACTTCAGTCCTCTTTTCTTTTTTTTTTGATGATTTAGGGAAAACTTCAGATGTGGGTGGATGTTTTCCCCAAGAGTTTGGGGCCACCAGGCCCTCCTTTCAACATCACACCCCGGAAAGCCAAGAAGTAAGTAATCATGAAGCCCTATGACATACACTGGGCTGAGGACTTAGTCCAGGACTAGAAGAAAAAGTATCTTCAAAATGTGCTCTTTTCAGATACTACCTGCGCGTGATCATCTGGAACACCAAGGACGTTATCTTGGATGAGAAAAGCATCACAGGAGAGGACATGAGTGACATCTATGTCAAAGGGTGAGGTTGGCATGCAAGTGCCTTTGACAAGCTCAGGGGATGAGACAGACTCTCTCCTTCATTAGTTTTCATTATTGAAGGTGCCCACTGTAGGATTCTTGGTTATTTGAAGCTATTTTACGTCGTTAATGCAATCTGTTTAGGTAGCTCCTGGAAAGCAAAGGGGGAAGGAACAGAAAAAAAAAAGAGAAACCCATATGGGCCTTGTTTATGAGCAAAGGTATCTAAGGACTATAAGAAGTGATAAATATTTCTTTGTTTCCCTTTCAATAAAGTGGACTTTCTTTAGTGTATTGAGCAGATTGGCTATTTCTGACATTTTTTAGCCATGTAGTTTGTTTTTTTTCCTCTTTGATGCCTTGGATAACTACTAGAAACACAAACAAGGCTTCCAAAATTTCTTTTTTCTACATATTTTATTACCAGCTGCCAATGTCTGTGGAAAAGAGGAAATGCTAGCAGATTTTTAAAAAATCATTCATTCCACTGATATTCACTAAGCGTCTGCATCCAACATGTAAAGTGTTATAGTTTTCATTATTTTCTTACTTGCATAATTCAATTTCAAATAGTCTATGTTGATGCTAGTTTTTTGTTATGCCTTGATCATAGATGTTGAGTGCAGTCTAGCATAGTGATTAAGAAGCCAGACTCTGGAGTCAACCTACCTGGGTTGAAATCCTGATATTTTCCCTCCTAGCTATGCAAGGTTGTAAGCTCACTATTCCTCATCTGTAAAATGGAGATAATGATTATATCCGTTTCCCAACGATATTCAGAAGATTCAAAGCATTTAGGATAGTGCCTACCAGGTAGTACAAATTACGTGAGTGCTAGCTAGTATTATTGCTCTTTCATGGAACTGAGTTTGGTTCCTGGATATATAAAAGATAAGGCTTGTGAAATTTAACATATTTGTAAAGTGAGAACAAAGTTTCACTTGTGATCTTAAGTGGGCTTCAATCAAAACTTTGTTAAAGACATAATTACCATCATTTAGGTTCCCTGTAAACAGGGAATGTTTCATCAAGTTCTTCATTATTATTTCTTATTTCAGGATCTCATTACCATTCCCCAAGGAAAACTAATCCCAGCTAATTATATATATGTAAATTTATTTGACTATCATAAGCATTTTTTTTCAAATCAAGGAAACAAACTCAATAATGCTAGACTGAGAGAAAACTCTTCTAATCAAAGAGTAGAGCTCAATTTAAAGTACCATATAAAATTTGGAATTAAAATATAAATACTGTATGTGAAAAGATGAATCACGCATAAATACCATGCTTAGCACTAGGCACATATGGGTACTGTCTTATATACAAAGCTACACATACATGCTCACAAACACATATACCTAGAGTGGTTGTTTAACTTGTCTTAAAATTAAAATGTGAAAAGACTCCCTTTTGAAATTAAATGTGAAAAGATTCACATAAAAAGAGAAGAATAGTTGCAGAGGGGAGTGGTCAGAGGTACGATGATGGTGACACTTTAGGGATGGGTCAGGTAGTGAAGCCACCAAGGTCACCGCCAAGAGTATGTGAAGTCTCCTCAGCGAGTTGGTTTAAAAGTTAACAGCTCAAAGGAATCTTTCAACTAATTTATCTAGTCAGTTCATTGATTAGCAAAAAGGAAAACTACTGTAGTTGACTGATATTAATACCATTACTAATATAATATTAGGACTTAATATTAGCAAGTGACTTTATAGTCTCCGTAGTGTAACAGGACTTTGGAGTCAGACTGACTTGGAAGTCATACTTAGTTCTGTCAGTTACTGGCTACTTGACCCTGTGTAAGTTAAAATATCCTCTCTGAACCTCAGTTTCATCATCTGTAAAATGGAGAGAGTTACACGGTTGTTGGGAAGAATAAAATAATGCAAGCTAAGTGCCTGGTTCATAGCCGATGATCGTAAGCACACATTAAAGATCCCCCCCTCCCCCTCTGCCCCTGCTAAGCCATGATCTCTCATTCTGTCCTTGCTTTCACCATGTGACGCAAGCACGTGTCATCAACCTCATTTTCCAGATGGGAGATGAGGCTCAGAGAGTTTCACAGCCATTCCTGCCTCCTACCAAGAATCTCTATCGGTGGGGTCCAGGCATCAATATTTTTAAAAGCTCCCCGGTTGATTCTAATGTGTTTCTAATGTGCAGTGTTGAGAACCACACACTCTACCACTTTGTCAATCTAAAATCAAAGTCACCCCTGGTTCCAAACCAGGAGCCTTCCCAGTTGTAGGCAAATATGACAACTTCCTTCCAGGAGCACACATTCATTCATTCCTTCAACAGGTATTTATTTAGTGTCTACTATGTGCCAGGCACAAACAAAAGGAAGCTTTTCCAATGTTAAAAGTTAAGACATTAAATTGTTACTAAAATGAATTCTCAGAGATATGCATATGCAAATAAGAGCTTACATCTTCCTTGACAGTCTCATTAACATGATCATAGTGAATTTAAGAATAACAAAAAAGAGAAGCTGTAAGATTACTTGATTCATGCCTTTTTTGTTTGCTTAAGTAAAATATGGGAAAGGAAATGCTAAAATTTTGAGCTAGCTCATATTCATTGAGCCTATCAGCAGTGATGACAGACACTGATGAGTTATAGTTGTGAAGACTAAAATCATAGCCAGCGGGCTTCAGCCTACCCAAAATAGAAGCTACGTTGTTGATATTTTCCAGAAAATTTCACCTTAGCCCTGTTAACTGAAGTCTAAAGGGCTTCCTGCTTTGGTTTTAGAGGAATTATATTTTATTTGGCTACAAGCTGTGTTGGATGCAATAGAGCACCTCCCCTTCATAAATCACCCCCAGCCCTGTAGATAACTGGAAGCTGCCCAAGAAAAGTGCATTAATTCTCCTGCTCTTCACTCCCCTAATCACGGCACAATTTTGCGGCTAGATTACTTGTCAATCACACGAACCTAAGTCTGTTTGCCTCTGCTTTTCAGCTGGATTCCTGGCAGTGAGGAAAACAAACAGAAAACAGATGTTCATTACAGGTCCTTGGATGGGGAAGGGAACTTTAACTGGAGATTTGTGTTCCCGTTTGACTACCTCCCGGCTGAACAACTCTGTGTCGTTGCTAAAAAAGTGAGCTTTGAAATATGCCAGTGGGAAGTGGATGTCATGGGTCTTCCTTAACTAGAAACTTGTAGAATGTTGCAGCTGCTTGGGACCTTGGAGGTCACTGAGTCCAGCTCCCTCTTGGTACAGATGGGGAATCTGAGACCTTGATACTTTCCCAAGGTCATGCAGCTATGACCGGGGTTTGTGTAATTGGGAAGAATAAGGAACGCAACTCTCTTTTCCCTACCATGTTGGTGGCGGGCTGAAGGACAAGGGGTAGAAGTGATGTCTTGTATCAATACATACAGCAACCCAAGTGGGTTTTGTATGTGATGGGGAGACTGATTTCTTCCCATGACAGGTAGAACCAAACAGAGGCAAAATATTAAAGAGGGTGAAATATCTCTTCCTCATTAAATCTTAGCATCTGCTTTGACTCCTTCAGAAGTAGTCCATGAGGGTTCAGGGCCCTCGTGGTCTTAATCAGTAAGACTTTCAGCTACAGAACTCAACTCCAACTGGCTTACACCAAAAAAGTGATTTATTTGTTCACGTTACTAAAAAGTCCAGGGTTGGCTGGCGTCAGGGATGGCTGGATCCTGTGCTGAAGTGATGTCTTTAGAAACTTGTCTCACTTTCTCTGCCGTTCTGCTCTGCCTTCCTCTGTGGGCCTCACTCCCAGGCGGGCTCTTCCCTGGCAGAGGCAGCAGCCCCAGCTCACATCCTGTGTTCTCAGCAGCCCTTGGCAGAAGAAGAACGAAGCCCTGGGGGTGTTAACCAGAGTTCTGGAACTGGTCTTCCATGTCTCTGCCTTTGGGATCGTGTTCCTATCACCCAACCAACCACTGTTACCCAGGGATGCAGTGCCCTGATTGGCCAGACTCTGGAGTTAGGGATGGAGCCAACCCCACCCAAATTTCACGCACTAGGGAGGGGGAGTCCCCAAGGAAAATCGGGTGCTTTCATTCAGATTTTCATCTAGGGACCTAGAACCTAGGTAGACAGTAATAACAGATGTCGGTCCCCTGTCCCATTCCTATCCCCCACATCCTATCAGCTTTCCCTAGCTCTGCCTGGTCACCCCTCTCCCCACTCCTGATCAAAATCTACCTTCCCTATGGCCCATCAGGCCAGGCCCTACTCTCTGCTGGTCCAATTCAGGGCTGGTGCTGTAGCAAGCACTGTTTTCATGCCAGGTGGGATGAGTGCCATCAAAGGGGACTTTGCAGAGGCACAGAGGCTCACTGTAATAGCAAACATGCACACTGGCAGGTAGTGAGGCAGAAAGGGGTGCGGACAGGGGAGGAATTCGGGTCAGACAGGCCTTTAGGTAAAGTTACTTTCCTGTTTACCCACGTCTAGGGCTGGACCTCCCCATGCCTTGAGTAGTACGTGGAGCATGACTCCATCCAGGACAATCAGGCAGGGACAGGCCATAGCAGAGTGGGCTTCTCAGCCCCTCAGATCCTGGTCCTCTGAGCCCTGCAAAGGAAAACATTCCTGGAATATGTAAAACAAAAACAACTCAATGATCTTCCTTCAAATTCATGAAGCATTGGGGGAATTCCCTTTTTGCTGGGGTTGGCTAATATTATCTGGGCAGAGGCATGAACACCTACCTCTAGTGTGAGGGATCTGAAAGTCTTAGGTGACCACAAGCATACAAAAGCCAATGGTATTTTTTGAAAGCCAAAAATGCCAGGACATTCTAAATCTGCACTGATAAAAGAGTGAAATCTGGTCCCCAGTCTCCTCACCCCGGTGTAAATGAGAGTATACTCAGACATCTGTGTAGGGTGAGGGGAAGGTTGGTGAACAGAGGTGACACCCCAGTGGGTGATATTGTGGGCTGGCTTAGAATGCCTGGCTTTAGGAGGATAATCCAAGTGGGCCATAGTGGTCTTCGGGAGGGAGATTAATCACTCCCCAACCCCCAGGGGTGGCAGCAGGAAGTCACACTGATAGGAACATGGCAGGAAATCTTCCATTTGGGAACAGCCTGGGACATCCTTTTTGTCACCCGGCTGGTGGCCTTGAGATTTCCTGGGGAGCCTGACTGCCCCCATACACATGGAGCAGAAGGACAGGGCCAATGGGAGGGAGTTTCCGGGGGGGTACAGAGGAGAGGAAAGGCCCAGGCCTTGGTGCTGTTTCAAGGAGCCACAGGTGAGGGTTTCAGCGTCCAGTAATCAGGGTCATTTGGTTTGTCCTAAAACTCTTTCCGTTTTAGGAGCATTTCTGGAGCATTGACCAAACAGAATTTCGAGTCCCACCCAGACTGATCATTCAGATATGGGACAATGACAAGTTTTCTCTGGATGACTACTTAGGTGAGGCTTACATTGGGATAATTTTCTCTAAAAAACTGTACTTGGAATTAATGAAATCAATTAAAACTTGGAAGCGATTATTTAAATCTCTAATACTTTTTGGTAATAGGGGGACAGGGGACACACCCATTGCTTGGCTGTCTTCTTGGCAGTGTGGCCTAACAGTGAATGCCACCCAGTTCCATGGGCCCGTCCTCTCTCGAGTGTTCTGGGGGAGGGTCTTGCACCAGCTCCCGTCTCTCTACGAAGACTCGAACCCTGTTTGCACAGAGGGATGCCGCGTCCCTGCCTCTACTTCCACACCACCCACGCTCTCCTCAGCGCCTCAGAATCAACTCCCACCCGCCTCCTTCACCCGCTCTCAGAAGTTGCTGAGCCCTCTGATCCCCCAGCCATGGCTCCTTCCCCACGTCCATCCTCCGCCCTCCTCTCTGGCTAAAGGCGCTGGTGAAGTGGCCGCTCCTCCCGCCGTGGCGCTGTGCTCTCCTGGCTTCCGCTCTCCCAGCCTTGGCCCTGTGACACCCCCCGGCTCTATTTCTTCCTCTCCCTCTTTCAATACAGGCCTCCCCTGGGGTTCTTGGGCTCCTTCCCAGCTCCCTCAGCCCCTTGCCAGGATTCACCCGCTCCCCCCTCCGGGGAAGGTCAAGCGCCACCTTTCCCCGTTCAGCAAGGGGACTCCTGCGCCAGGATGTGCGCGCAGCGCCATGCGAAACCGTTTCGATCGTTGTTCCCAATTCCCCGCCAGAACGTCTCATCTCTGTGTTTGGCTGGCACTTCGCCGTTATCACACCAGACGCCAGACTCAGCATTTCTTCCCTGCCCTCGTACCTGCTCTCCTCGGGAACTTCCTTGCTGCTCACGGGCCCTCCGTTTCCCTAGCCACCAGGGGGACGCGCCCAGCGTCCTCTCCGGCTCCTCTTCTCTTTCCTCCACACCCTTCAGCCACCCAGTCCTAGTGATGCCATCTGCTTTATCGCACGCACGCGCTTTCTTATTCCTGGGAGCTCTGCCACTGGCCGGTTCAGACCCTGTTTTCTGCAAGCCACCGTCACAGTAGCCCCTGACTGCGGTCCCTGCCCCCATCTTGCTTCCAGGGCACTCTCCTGGCAGAGGAAACACCGACCAATGTCTGTCTCTTATTCATCCCTTTGCCCCTCAGACCACCTCATGCAATGGTTTGACTTAGTCAGTGCTCGATGAGAGCTGAACAAACAAATGTGCCTGCACGTAGGCCAACGCAAGGCACAAAGGTAGCAAGTTCCAGAACAGTAGAGGGTTTTGCCTTGGAACGTAAACCAAACAGTCTGACAGCAAATAAGGAGAATGACTATATCTCAAAATGGCTCGTGAGCACGTCACCAAAAGGAGAGAAAAGACGAAAGCAGATGTAGGCTCGAGAGAGGCTGAGGTAACTCATGGTCTGTGGATCCGTTATGTAAATATGATGATGGTTTGAAGGGAACCTGCCCCAACCTCGCTGTGGTCTTTGCTGCCACTGTCAGAAACCAGACTCCTGTCCCAGTAGCCGTAGACCCGACCCCACGTCACACACAGCATTTTCTTAAGGGAAAGGGCTCCCAGGAGTTCCCAAACCCCAAAGACACTTTTCCCTCACTGTGAAAGCGGGAGGAATTGATGCCTCGCGCCACACAGGAGAAAATGTGCTTCTCCAGACACCCCGATTGACACCCCGATCGAGGCTGGGAGTCGTAGTTGCTGGTGAGGATTTTCTGTTGAGTTGTTATGTTTCTTCTCAAGTTCCTGTCTCTGAGGTTATGCCAGGAGAGACTTGAAGGTGAGTGTTCCCCGAGCATCCCATGTTCCAGGCGCCAGTTGTCTTTACCCAAAGCCAAATGGCCTCTCTGTTCAGGACAGCTCAGAACCAAAATGAGCACGTTTTAAATCCAAGGGCCCTGAGTTCAGTGGAAATTTTGTCTATAGATGTTTAATCCCTTTGAGTCTACAGAAGAACTCTGTTTATGCTCGTGTCTTTGAGAAAGAAAACATGTCGCTCTCTGTGCAGTACTGAGCAGTGGACAGCTATTTCTTCTGCCGTTTTCCATCCTATCTGGAAAGAATTTAAACATCTACCAGGATTTTTTTCTCTAACTCACCTGTCACCTGTTCAAAATTACTGTGTGTCTCTCCCCTGACAAGAACATCGTGTTCGCTTGTGAACAACGGCTGATCCACTCAAAGCTTATTTGGATTTAATGTTCTTTCCTTGGCAAGGTTTCCTGGAGCTTGATTTGCATCACACAATCATTCCAGCAAAATCATCAGAGAAATGCAATTTGGACATGATTCCGGACCTCAAAGCCATGGACCCCCTTAAAGCTAAGACGGCCTCCCTCTTTGAGCAGAAGTCCATGAAAGGATGGTGGCCATGCTACGCAGAGAAAGATGGCGCCCGTGTGATGGCTGTATGAGTGCTTCCTGGTCGAAGTTTGCTTATTCTTTTTATCATTTAGGTTTTGCCTTTATCCATAGATTTACTCCAGATAAGATAAGGAAGTGTAAGATTGGTGGGACTTTAAGTTATGGGAACAGTTTGTCTTTGGGATTACGAGACAGAGTGAGAGATGCCATGAGCATGTGTTTGGAGTTGGGGGAAGGTGAAGGACTTGGAATGGTCAAAAACTAGGAGCCCGAGTGGTTTCGCTGGATTTCTTTAGGACTCTGCTTTACCAGGAAGGTTACTTTATGCTGAGCTTCCACTGCAATTCAGTACAGGAAAAGGAGCTTCAAATTTGAGCTGTTCTCATTTAAAAAAAGAAAAAAAAGTAGAGGAAGTAGGAAGTGCTGGCATTTATTGAAAAATAAGGCCATTACTTACAAGCAAGTTGATGAACTCAAGATGTATTCTGATATAGAAGCAATAATGTGGGTTACCATGCCACGTGACAAAGGACTGCCTAGTCCATTATGCTTTATGTATTTATTTATGTATTTCAGAGACAGGCTCTTCCTCTGTCACCCAGGCTGGAGTGCAGTGGTATGATCATAGTTCACTGCAACTTTAAACTCCTGGGCTTAAGAGATCCTCCTGCCTCAGCCTCCCAAGTAGCTGGGACTACAGGCTCATACCACCACACCCAGCTGATTTTTAAAATTTTTTTGTAGAGATGGGATCTCACTGTATTGCCCAGGCTGGTCTCAAACTCCTAGCCTCAAGTGATCCTCCCACGTTGGGCTCCCAAAGCACTGGGATTATAGATGTGAGCCACCCTGCCCAGCACCATGATGCATTGTTAATAATAGCTAACATTTTTTAACACTAATTATGAACCAAGCGATATGCCAAGTGCCATACATTCATAATCTTGTTTTTTAAAATAACGTTGATGTATAATTTACATAAAATAAACTGTACCCATTTAAGGTACACAATTTTATGAGCTTTGATAGATGTATATGCCCATGAAACCACCACCATAATCAGAATCCAGAACCTTCCCATCATCCCCAAATTACCTTTTGTCCTTTGCAGCCCATCACTCCCTCCTCCCCAGCCCCAGGAAACCACTGATCTGCTTTCTGTCACAATACAGAAGTTTGCACATAATCTCATTTAGTTCTGCTGACAACCACATGAAGTAGACATTGTCTCCATTTTATAGATTCCAAAAACAGGCTTGGAGAGGTTGAGCAACCTGCCAATGTCAAGCACTCAGCTCTGTCTGATTCCTAAGCAGAGGCGTCATCTGAGCTCTGCTGCCTAAATGAGAGTCAGGGTCAGGGCTTGTCAAGTTGCTGGTGACCTTGTGGGCCTTCCTGGGTCCTGGAAAGTCAGTTACAACCCTGGGTAAAAGTAGCTATAAAAGTGGGCAAGTTTCTGGACCTCTTCACTTCAGCTCAATGTTCTCATCTGCACATGAGGACAGGAATAGCACCTTCATGGGGTTGCCATGAATATTACACGAGATTACCCACGTGGAAGGTTTGGACAGTGCCCAGAGCCTCCCTCAGGAACCTATTATCAGGGGGGAGCATTCACTCATTCACTCACTCATTCATCTATTGAGCTAGTGGACATCGAGTAGCTACTAAGTGCCAGCAGGGCTCCACGCGGTAGGTGACGATGATGAGCGTGAACACACAAGGCCCTGCTCTCTTGGAGCCTATGGTTGGTGCTCTATAGATGTTAGGTACTGTTGTTAGCAGGATTCAGATTAGTCTGGGTCCAAGCAGAGTTACAAAGGAAGGTGCGTAGGGGGCAAGGAGATCAATGTGAGAATGTAGGAATGATGGGGAGACAGAGAAAGAGAAGCAGGGAGGAGGGAAAGCAATTTCTCCTCTCCGTTTCCCACACAGAGCCGGTTCAGGAACACATGGAAGAGGAAATGGGATGAAATCTCTTGAGGAAAATTTAAGGCAATCTAAGGATTGTTTTACAAGAATAAAAATCACTGCTCGGGGAATACTGCTAGGGTCGGAGTAAAAATATTTGTGCAACGTGATGTCATGTGTTTAACCTGTTCTGCTTTACTGAAGGGGAAAGTGGAGATGACATTGGAAGTCCTCAATGAGAAGGAGGCCGACGAGAGGCCAGCCGGGAAGGGGCGGGATGAACCCAACATGAACCCCAAGCTGGACCCACCAAAGTGAGAGGCTTTCTTTGTTCTCGATGCTGCCTGCTCCCCAGACACCTGCAATCCGAAATCTCCCCCTCCAGTTGGCTTAATGGGCTGGATTAGCTGTGGTTCTTCCAATTCTGTGCTGAATAGTGGGAGGTGGGGTGGAGAGGTGGGTGATCTGGCTGCATTTGAATCATTCTCCTTTCCCATGAAGCCTAAGTTCAGTGTGTCTTAGGACGCCATAGTAGGTTGAAGAGCCAACCAGGGGAATAATATCTTTTCTTGACTTTATTCATGTTACTGGGTATTCCTTAAACTGTGTTCTGGTCTGAGGTAAAGTGTTTGTCCCTCCCGAGTGGGTAGGTAATACCATTTCTTTGCACCGCAGCCGACCAGAGACGTCCTTCCTCTGGTTCACCAACCCGTGCAAGACCATGAGGTTCATCGTGTGGCGCCGGTTTAAGTGGGTCATCCTCGGCCTGCTCCTCCTGCTCATCCTGTTGCTCTTCGTGGCCGTGCTTCTCTACTCCTTGCCGGTGGGTGTCCCTGGCTTCTTGTCTTGGCTTTTTTGTGAATCGTGGTCGGTCACCTCACTTGGCATTTGCCTTTCTTGCTGTTCAGAAAAATAACCCACTTGGCAGTGTGGTGTGGGAACCCCTTCAGCTTTTGGAAAATTGAAAGTTGTGTGTCCTGTGATCAGAATGACATTCTTAGGGTTTCATGAATTACAGACAGGACATTATGGTCTGAAAAAAACTTTGATTTCAGGAATCGTAGGAAAAATCGGTCAGGCCTTGATCAGTGTATGTCTGAACCATAGCCACTGATCTTCCTGCCGTCAGACTTGCTTGTTCCAAACCCTCCTGCATCCTAACTCCTTGCCCTAGCTTCAGGGATCCCCAGATCTCTGCTCATGATAGGTTTATACAAACACTGTACTCCACCCAAACTAGATCGTGGATCCCCAGCCCCTAAACACTCATGCCCTTACCTGTCTGGATGCCTTTGCCGATGATGTCCCTTTGCCCCCATTTTGTCTATCAAATCTTACTCATTCTTTAAGGCCCATGTCACATATAACCTCCCCCTTAAGTTTTCCTTAATCACTCCAGTCATAAATGGGAGTCCAAATGGGAGCTCTGGCAGTGTGCCTAGACGTAGAATCTTCATTCCTCCATCCAGAGAGTTTATTGAGCATCTACTGTAAGCTAGGAATTACGTTATAGAGATGACCACGGCATGATTTCTGTCCATGAGTGGTTCATAGTCTGGGAACAGGCAGACACATGGACAGTCAGATTACTGTGGCAGGCAAGCTGCTACAGAGACATGAACAAATGATCACAGGAGCCCACTGCTGAGGACCATTCCACCAAGGAGGGGACATTTTGAAGTTAAATTCCCCAAGTGGAGAAGGGTAAGTCCAGGCAGAGAAAACCATGGGCAAAAGCAAGGGAGGGGCACTGGATGTCACAGGAGGTGTTCAAAAACTTTTATTCCAATTCACATTAATAATAATGTCAATAATTTTGTCTTTAGTAGCATAGTCATACAACCACAATGGCAGAGGTTTTATGTCTTTATTTTTCCCCAGTGTAATACTTTTAGTTTGTTAACTATGAGTAGATGCACACTATCTTCTAGTTGTATATAGTCCAATCTGCCTTGACCATTGAAAACACCCCTCAGAGTTATTTCTTTCTCTTGATTTAGAATCTATTGATTTAAACCAGTGATTCTCAACTGGGGTGGAGGTGGATTTTGCCCCCCAGAAGACATTTGTCAATGTCTGGAGATACTTCGGTCACAGCAACTGGCAGGTGCTTCTGGCATCTATGGCCAGGGATGCTGCTAACATCCTACAATACTCAGGACACTCCCCAACAAGAAAGAATCATCTGGTTCTAAACGTCAGTAATGCCAAGATTGAGAAACCCTAACTGAAATACACATCTTCATAAATACATATTTAACATTGTTTCTGGTTCCTTTACAGAACTATTTGTCAATGAAGATTGTGAAGCCAAATGCATAATGAAAGCAGAGCCTTCTTTTCAAGAGTCATCCAGCAATAAGGAATCTCACCTCCGTGGACCAAAATCAAGTGTGTCTGAGACTACAGCCCAGTGGCACGTTACACTATTCCAGCAAGCCCGTCCGTTCTCAGAGGGCCTTAATGCTGCAATGACAGGCCAACAAGCAATATTTTTATCTTTTCTTTTGAAGTATTAAATGTTTTATTTTCTGAAGTTTTGACCATGTTTTCAAGGTGGCTGGTTCCATTTTAAAAATCATCTTTTTATGTGTCCTTATTTCTATAATTCAATTTTTGGAAATTGCTGAAATGAAATTTGAAAATTTCTGCTTCTTGATGTCATATACTCATTTGTAATCAGCTAAAAGAACTGTGCATTATAAAAACAGAATAGTTAGAGTGATTCTTATTTATGCCTACAACCATTGTTATGATATTTTGTATGGATAAACCTCATGAAATGCTATTTTAACCTCTGTGACAAACCTAAATAAAAATGTTTCACCTTTATACCTGGCTGTTTGGTGGAGCTGTGGGTCACATTGGGGAAGAGGCAGTCTCTGGTCCCCTGGTCTCAGTAGACACAATACCATGGCATACCTCCTGGCCATAAACCCTTTATAAGTGTGCTACCCAGGTTTGCCCAGTGTGTCAAACTGAGGGTAACATTGTAAATAATACAAACTAACGCTTATTAAAGGTACTTATTCTGTACACAGCACTTTTTTAAGTGCTTTATGTTTATTAACTCACTTAAGGACAAGGTAACCCTATAAAGGTAGATAACATTATTAACCCCATTTTACAGTTGAAGAAATTGAAGGGAAAAGGTTAAGTAACTTGTCCAAGGTCACACAACCAATGAATGGGAGAGCTGGAATTTGAACCCAAGCAGTGTAGGTTCTCTCTCTTAATGTCTCTTAACCACAGTGCTACACCACTGATGGAAGGTCTTTCAAAAGGAGCACACAGCTGAGATGGTCAAAGAATGAGTGACGGTAGCAATGCAGTGGTGACTCCACACCAACACCAAAGAGAGCGCGTTTTCTAGAATGTGCGATAACACTGTCCTGCTAGATAAGAGACTATGGTGAAATCAGTACACAGTTCTACTCAAACAGCAACGTAGAACTGAGTAGAGCAAGAATTGGCACCATAATGACAATGCTTTTAGACACTTAGACAAAGTTATACTTCAAGGGTGATTATGTTGGCATTATTGCTGAGTTGTTTCACGTTTGGAATATTTTAATTCCTTTCCATGTCCTGCCAAAAATCCAAGCATTCCAAGTGTGCTCAATACATAAAAATGAGAGACCTGCTCTGGCTGAATTACAATGTTCATCCCTTCCTGTGTACCCCCTCCTCCCTGAATGCCACCCCCACCTTTGCTGGTGGAACTCCTGCCCACCCTTAAAGTTCTGGTTTAGATGCCACCTTCTCCTTAACACTTCTTGGGCCCAAAGTGATTCTTCAATCTCAGAAGTAGACAAATTAGTATAAGCTTTCTGGAGAAATATATATATTAAAAGCCTTGAAAATGTACCCTTTGACCCAGTAATTTCACTCCTGAGTGTTGACTCCAAGGAAATAATCAGAAAGGCAGCCAAAGGTTCACATACAAAAATGTATGTTACAGTGTGCTTTATCATGGCACCAATCCGACACAACCTAAACGCCTACTTATAGGGGAATCAGAGAATCTATGGTGAAATCCCATATATTGTTACAA